CATTTAAGATACAGCATCTGACTCTTAGGATAATGAATGATATACCTTTTAATATATTTTTTGGAGAATATAAAACCAATCGCTAAATACAACTGGGAATTCAATTTTTAAACTTTTACCTGTGTCATTTGAGGCTTGAATTGAGATGATATTACAAGATAGTAAGACTTCGAAATGTTCAGTTTTGTAGGTAGTTTTTGGGGGTTTCTTGTATCTCAAAATATATATTTATAAACTTTTTGTGTTTTTGGGTAACTTCGTTTTAGATTTATGAGAAAAACAGGAAATGATTTTGGTCGCCATCTTGGATTTTGGAAAACGCTCTAGCTGATTTTTCTAGGACTTTAAGTATGTTTTAAACATATTCCTGGACCTATCCTGACAAAAATCAGCATATTATGAGAAATATCCATGTTTATTGGAAGGCAAATCTCGCCATTTTGTTTTACTGGCTGCCATTTCGAAAAAGACCAAATCTGAATGGCCAACGATATTTTTTATTCAGTTACTTTTTAAGGAACAGTCATGCCAAGTTTGTGCTTGTCTCATCAAATGAAATAATTTACCCACTATCCGCTCCACTACATTTATTCAAGGGAAATAACTCCCCAAAAACTAATCGGTATTATAGCTACTTTATGTTGATTGACCCTTTATGTTAACATGCATAACACATGTTTTAACCGTTCTTTAGGGAGTACTCCTATTAAAGGTTTCTAGCTACAAATTATTTTCCACTTCATAAATCATAATACGGTACTTTGTTGATAAATCTGTCACATATGTAAAGTTTATTATATCCTATGATTGATATAGCAATCATTTATTGTTACACATGGAAGTAAATATAAGTACCCTATGCCACATACATTTGGCATAGGTGTAGAATTTACAGTACTCTCTACTGATCTACCGTAAAAACTGAATGAAACATAGCTCATCTACATATATTATTACCTTAATTATTTATAGACGGTGTCTGATTTCCAAGGGTTAAGGTTGAATAAGACCTCCTGCGATTATATTTGACAATAATAAAACTCTTCAAATTATTTTCTTATAAGGAATTCTTTAAATATCTGCTAGTACTTATGCTTCAGTCCCCCACCTCCATCGCATCATCTCACAGCAGGCCAGGATCCAGACTTAATTGTTGGTAGTGCTATTAATATATTCCGAAGAGCAATGGTGTGGTTGGTCGGTCCGCAGATTTTTTCTGGGGTGCAATACGTTTTTCGGCTTCTCAGTAATGGTATTACCTAGTCCCCCCTCGGACGTAAGCCAGGCTCCACTACTGCTCAGTGGCGTATTGCTGCTGAACTCAGTAATTCAGGACACGTATTACTTCATCACTCGATTATTTTAGTAACACATTCCTCAGTATATTATTGCTTTATCACTCAGAACATGTATCTCTTCAATGCTATAAGTGGTGTATTTTCATAGGAAGAAATGGCAGCAACGCTTAAGGGTATGAAATGTCCATTAAAATGTTGTGAAAGTATTGAAATTCATTCAAATTTCAAACCAAGATATTAATATAAAAATACTCAGCAACTTTGACTGATTCACAGGTTGTTAATGTAGGTATCACACAAGATGAAATTCCTGTTATAAAACATTGTTACTATTATTAGTAACACAGTGATTCACCTGTATGACGTAATCGATGTGCTTTTTAGATAATCCAGGAATTCCAATGGTATTACCTGATATTGTATTAGCCTTACTCATCATAAAGTTTGTTTACGATATCACAGCTTATCGTAAATTTGTGGTTTTTCATAATCAATTATGACGAATATGGTTTTTTTTAAGCTGCACAATAAAAAAAAATATATAATTTTCATCTTGAGTGTCAAAATTTAAGGCATTAAGTGAAGGTTAGATATCATAACCTTTAAGATTTTGTTCACTGCGTTTCAATAATTTACATTATCATAATCAAGTTCATTTTTATCGTGTGATGTCAATATAAAAAGTTTTCAATATTGGAAATTAGCGAATGCAATGCAGTCAATGTGAAGAGTAGAATTATTAGGGCCTACTTGAGTACAGAACCACTCTGTCAAATAATCTAAATTTGGCCACGCTGTTCAAATATTATCAATATATTATATCAGAAGATGATTGACAGTGTCAGACTACACCCCTTTTTTTATCAACACTTTTGATTACCGTTGCGTTTCAATTGGTCATTATCGGGATACGTAACGAAAGGATTAAAGGATAATAATTAAAGCGTGGCCAAGGCTACCTACGATTTTTAAATTGCTTTAATGTCAGGTTTAATGATTGAATGCTAATATTAACTATTGAATGCCCACTTTGTCAATTGGCCATGAGTCGAGGTTCTTGGCACAGCAGAATATTCTAGTTGTCGTTTTGTCAATCCTGTTCAGAGACAACGCCATGCAGTGTGTCATGGGTGAAATTTTATCACAACCAAGGCATTGCTCACTCTTTTCGATTTCCAACTTGCGAGGGATCTTTAATATTCACAGTCTGTAAGCATGAGATGAGCTCTAGTCAATATTGATAGGTGGAATATTACCGATATACCATGTGGCATAATTTTATCAAGATTTTCATATCTATAAGCCTACTTGCAAGACTTGCAGGATATCATATAGTTTCGCTTCATTCAATTAAGAACAAAGTGAGTTTCCGTTATGTATAATGTTCTCTTCATATGATAAATAGACCGGTGTCTTGACCTTGAAATTTATGTCAAGTTAACTGTAAAACAAAAGAAAACCAACAGAAAATCTTCTTTAATTTGGTCACGTAATGAGCTTAAATATCAGGCCATCTAAAGTAATTCTTTAAATTTTGTTTAAATCTGTTTTGTTATTCAGAATAAGGTGAAAGTATTACTGATGCTATACAAATTTTGTTTACACAGTGTGCTCTATTTAAACTGTCACCAGTAGATGTAACATGCATCTCATAACATTTTGTAACAAAATAAACACCTTAACCTAGACGTTCTATTAGTATTCATTTCATTGTCTACACTTTACTTTAATCTATAAACAATAACAAGAGAAGCACCTTGAATAATAGGTCCTCTCTGTTTAAATCTCATAGTAAATCTTAACGATTGATTGAGGTCATGCCCGAAAAACTTGCATTCGTTGCTGCGAGATGGCGGTTACCCACTCTATACCAACAACAGTTTGTAAATGCAGCGATTTGGTTGGATTGTACATTAGCTAATACAGCCAATCAGAATTTTTGACAGGAAGTCTGTCAAAAATAAGCCATAATGTTTACAGTCTGTCTGTCTGTTTAGGACTATGGTCGACTGTATTCGATTCCATCCAATCAAATTGCTGCATTCCGGGATACAAGAAAGCTGGCTATTGCAGTCAAGGTATAAGATGCAGTAGCTTGACATTTTGAAGATGAATCAATTGGATATGTACCACTTTCTTTTATTCTCAAATGATTTCTTAAAAGGTGGTGGCACAAACCCAATATAATTACGTAGGCCTATCTTCTTTTCGCTAAATAACATTGCATTCCTTCATTTTCAATTAAATAATAATGTTATTACCCATTAAAGAAAACGACCAAATGAAATCTTATACCATAGCATGTTGAAATGGTAATATTTATTATTGTTTAGACTGAAGGGTATCATATATCAAACCCTAGGGTTCGTTTCACATGTTAAAATCATTATAGCGTGCAAGGAGATAAAGGGTCTTCCAAATATGGTCATACATACATTTGGTAGATTAAATTATCATTAAAGTTGTATAATCACTTTTTTCAGGCACGAATATATTCCTTTCAGAGAAGGGGCCAATGAAAAATATTACCAAATGCAATTTTAGTGATTATACTTAGACTGAGTATCATGGGTCCTAAATGCGAAATTGTAAGGGTTTTATAATAGAAAATGTTGTATTTGGACTCATGTACAGTACACTTTCAACTATAATGACAGTCCAGAAATAATAAAAGCTTTGGGAATACAATGTCAAAAGCACCAAAAGTAAAGAGATAACTATTTGTGATCCTATTATGATGCCTTTGACTCATTGAAAAACTATGAACTTGTAATGTGAAATTGACATAACTCAACCCCGGCAGAATTAATTATCTCGTGTTCTACATTAACATCATAGTTACATCTAATTAATTAATGTAATATATATATATCCACCATCTTAATATTGTGATAACAGTAGCTTAATTAATATTCATAAAGGTTGGGGTCGTCAGTCAGGGGGGTCAGGGTCATACTAACTATTACGTAAGCTAATTAGATAATTAAATTGATTTTCTTTAGATATAATTATAAGTTTTAATGAGACTTCTTTAATATCTTATTCTTATGTCAGACTATGTTTTAAGAGGTTTAAAGGGTGAATGATGAAAAAAGATGTTCAGTATTACAAACGAATTTATAAAACTAGTATTTTGGTATAATCTGATAATATAAGAACATACATTTTCAAAAATCCGAAGCTCAACTTTATGCCAACTTTCTGTTCATTATTTCTTTCTTTTGTCATAGTCGTTTTAAGCATAGTGGCAAAATGGTCACACTTTGAGTTCATCGGTCTAAGCCAACAAGTACTACACATAATTCTGCATCATTCGACTACAAGACATTCTTTTTAACTATCGTGTTATGAAATGCTGGTGTGTATTAGTAATAATTAGGATATTGAGAGGAAATAATACTTGTATTTATATGTAATCAACTAGCCTTCTTACATCCTATTATTCCGACGTATAGTAAGACCAATGACATAATCTTAAAATTGTTTTGACCAAATTGTGCCGGTTTGTTAATAATTCGGTAAGTTAATTTCACCTTATCTGCTTGAGACAGCGAATGGGAACTACTTCAATTGCGAGTTTATAGATTACTCGATTTATCAGCACTGTTACAATAATATGAGGTCCGACATCGAATACGATGCAAATACGTTTCGCTTCTTCTATTGTCTTACTGTATCGATAATTCTGCATCCTACACCTCCTACTGTACAGTCTCCTACTTCTATCTCATGATATTATATAACTACTGTACAGTCTCCTACTTCTATCTCATGATACTATATAACTACTGTACAGTCTCCTACTTCTATCTCATGATATTATATAACTACTGTACAGTCTCCTACTTGTATCTCATGATATTATATAACTACTGTATACTCTTCTACTTCTATCTCATGATATTATACAACTACTGTACAGTCTCCTACTTCTTTCTCATGATATTATATAACTACTGTACGGTCTCCTACTTGTATCTCATGATAATATATAACTACTGTACAGTCTCCTACGTCTATCTCATGATATTATATTACTACTGTGCAGTCTCCTACTTGTATCTCATGATATTATATAACTATTGTACAGTCTCCTACGTCTATCTCATGATATTATATTACTACTGTGCAGTCTCCTACTTGTATCTCATGATATTATATAACTACCGGTACTGTACAGTCTCCTACTTCTTTCTCATGATATTATATAACTACCGGTACTGTACAGTCTCCTATTTCTATCTCATTATATTATATAACTACTGTACAGTCTCCTAATTGTATCTCATGATATTATATAACTACTGTACAGTCTCCTACTTCTATCTCATGATATTATATATCTACTGTACAGTCTCCTACTTCTTTCTCATGATATTGTATAACTACCGGTACTGTACAGTCTCCTACTTGTATCTCATGATATTATATAAGTACTGTACAGTCTCCTACTTGTATCTCATGATAATATATAACTACTGTACAGTCTCCTACTTGTATCTCATGATAATATATAACTACTGTACAGTCTCCTACTTGTATCTCATGATACTATATAACTACTGTACAGTCTCCTACTTCTATCTCATGATAATATATAACTACCGTACAGTCTCCTACTTCTATCTCATGATAATATATAACTACTTTACAGTCTTCTACTTCTATCTCATGATATTATATAACTACTGTGCAGTCTCCTACTTCTATCTCATGATATTATATAACTACTGTACAGTCTCCTACTTTTATTTCATGATATTATATAACTACCGGTACTGTACAGTCTCCTAATTGCATCTCATGATATTATATAACTACTGTACAGTCTTCTACTTCTATCTCATGATATTATATAACTACTGTACAGTCTCCTACTTCTATCTCATGATACTATATAACTACTGTGCAGTCTCCTACTTTTATTTCATGATATTATATAACTACCGTACAGTCTCCTACTTGTATCTCATGATATTATATAACTACTGTACAGTCTCTTACTTCTATCTCATGATACTATATATCTACTGTAGTCTCCTACTTCTATCTCATGATATTATATAACTACCGTACAGTCTCTTACTTCTATCTTATGATACTATATAACTACTGTGCAGTCTCCTACTTTTGTTTCATGATATTATATAACTACCGGTACTGTACAGTCTCCTACTTGTATCTCATGATATTACATAACTACTGTACAGTCTCCTACTTGTATCTCATGATATTATATAACTACTGTAAAGTCTCCTACTTCTATCTCATGATAATATATAACTACTGTACAGTCTCCTACTTGTATCTCATGATATTATATAACTACCGGTACTGTACAGTCTCCTACTTCTATCTCATGATATTATATAACTACTGTACAGTCTCGTACATGTATCTCACGATATTATATAACTACCGATACTGTACAGTCTCCTACTTGTATCTTATGATATTATATAACTACCGGTACTGTACAGTCTACTTCTTGTATCTCATGATATTATATAACTACTGTACAGTCTTCTACCTGTAACTCATGATATTATAGAACTACCGGTACTGTACAGTCTACTACTTGCATCTCATGATATTATATAACTACTGTACAGTCTACTACTTGCATCTCATGATATTATATAACTACTGTACAGTCTACTACTTGCATCTCATGATATTATATAACTACTGTACAGTCTCCTACTTGTATCTCATGATATTATATAACTACTGTACAGTCTCGTACTTGTATTTTGTGATGTTATATAACTACTGTACAGTCTTCTACCCGTATTTCATGGTATTGTGTAACTATTACAATGTTCTACCTGTATCTCACGATCCACCTGTATATGATACTTGATTCTCTTGATAGAATATGTGCTGTTAAAACGTTATTCGTGATGTTGCAAATCTTTCATTTTCATGGCGATAACACTTTAAAAGTTATTTCAATTACCTGTAGATTGGCAATGCTGTAACAAATCTAAAAGTTTAAACCCAGTTCTTTCAATGTTATCTGTTTGTGTGTGGAATGTGTTTAGAAGTCTTCTCTTCTGCCTGGAAATAAGATAGCATAAGATAGATAACATAACATTGGTAAACGACTAATTCTACAGAGTAATGATTAAAGTCTCTGGGTAGGTCGTTCTTAATTGTCTAGATAATATATATTTTTGGTTAGTGAGGCGAATTTCTTTCTACATTCCAAATTGTCGTAAAGTTTTGAAATAGTCACAATGAAAGGATGAAAACAAGGAATGGTTATAACATTATTATCATATTACTCCTAAGGGCGGTACAGACTTCTAGAAAGATTTTAATGATTTGAAAATGAGTGGTTTTGATGACGAGTCGACTGGATATGAGGTAAACATGAATTATTATCTCATATTAAACAGCGATTTGTATATACACACTCCCCCACCCCGTCGTGACCTGGTTTCAACCTTCTGATTGGAGCTACTGATGACATTATACAGATAATTCTTATAGTATCGTTTTACTCCTGTATTCCAAATTAGGAAGGCACGTTCAGACAAGTGTTTGCAAGCTGTGTTCATCGTTTGTCTATAAGATGTAGGGAGAAACGCGTGCACAACTCACATTACCTATCTAACCAATCTACTAGAAGCAACTGACAATATCTTACCTTCTACCCTCTTTGGGATTCTGTGTAAAACGTAAGCAAAAGTTGTGGCATTACGTAGAATTGGCCTGATAACAAACTCTTTGCCGTTATAGACTCGGTTTAACCACCATCGAGTCTGTGTAGTACTAATCTTAGATAGCAGGAACCCTTTCATTCTTACTGGATTTCATTATTCCATTCAGGTGAGTACAGGTGTGTTTTTTAGGTTGAAATTTGTTGCTGATCTTTCCTTAAACTGTGGATATATATTTTTATTTTAAGAAATAACAGGCTAAACTTTCTGTTACTTAATATTTTTATTTAAAAAATGGTATTGGGTCTTAAGGAAGATACACTCCTATGGACGCACTGGCAACGGGTTGTGAAATAGTGAAAATTGTGCGCCCCTTGTGCCAGAGAAGTTTCTTTATTAATTCCATTGACTATCTTTTGAGTTTCCGATTTCTTACACTCGTTGTCAAGCATCGTTGTCATATTCTTATATTCAGCAATAAAAGCATCCATTTACGATTACTATTCTGCACCGTCTGTTTATCAGAACACAACTCTGGAATTTCTACAAGTAATTTTGTTTATCAGTAGTTTTCGTTAAAGAATATAAGTGGTTCTAGAACAACTTCAATTTCAGAGTAATCATTTATATTTGACATTTTGTTATTCTATGTCACCTACAGAATTGGGGATTAAAAGAATAGATTATGTTGTTGAAATAATTTTGAATGCTTAAGGGTTGGCCGGAGACAAGAACAGTGTTGTTGTATAAAAACCTTTAACCTATTGATGAGCAATTTGATACATTTCACCTCATAATAAACTCGAGTGGAATGTCTGTGGCCAGAACTGATGAGTCTTTGATTGACTGGCGGTGTAAACAACATTCAGATACAAAATTTTTTTTAAACAGAGACGAAACAAACATCACCCTGTCTTCGTTTTAAATTTACAAAAATATCTCTCACATAAGAGTATTTGTATGACTACATGATGTTTATGGGCCACCATACTTTATTTTAATTCTGGATCTTGGATTGGAAATTGAAAATTATTCTAAGTGGGACTGTCAATTCAAATACATGCGGACATTGCAGACTTAGATATCTATAGGGGACAAGATCAACATTTCATGGAAAATGTTCTTGAATACTTTCGCCATTAATCTATCGTGATGAGGTCATTGAAACATTCAATCAGGAATATTTTCAGCCGATATCATACCGGTGTTTTGCAATCTCAGTTGGTGTTTTGACTCGTTGCCAGTAGTTTAGTTTATGATTCCTGGCAATTCAGTCGTGAAAACAATGTTCTTATATAGTTAGTGAGATGTTGTATGCAGTATGTGTATTCTGTTAAACGAATCACCATTTTACCTTCCCCTCGTTATCAAATGGTCAGATCGTCGTTTCTTGACATCATGTAACAAGTCAGATCTCAGTTTCTTAACATCGTATAACAAGTCAGATTCCAGTTTCTTAACACCAAATGGTCAGATTTCAGTTTCATGACATCATATAACAAGTCAGATTCCAGTTTCTTGACATCAAATGGTCAAATCGTCGTTCCTTGACATCATATAACAAGTCAGATCTCACTTTCTTGACATCATATAACAAGTCAGATTCCAGTTTCTTGACATCAAATGGTCAAATCGTCGTTCCTTGACATCATATAACAAGTCAGATCTCACTTTCTTGACATCATATAACATGTCAGATCAAATACTTCATATAACAAGGCAGATCTCAATTTCTTTGCATAATATAACATGTCAGATCAAAAACATCATATAACGAGGCAGATCTCAGTTTCTTGACATCATATTACAAGGCAGATATCAGTATCTTGGCATTGTTTAAAAAGTCAGATCACCGTTTCTTAAAATCGTATGATAAATTAGTTGCAATTTAAAATTAAGCCTGATCGTCGTTTCTTGAAATCAAATATTCCGTGTCATATGATAGAGAGTCAGCTCCCATTCCTTGACATCAAATGTTAAAATATAACAAAAAAGTAGATGTCGTTCAAATCGTTCAAATCGTAAGAAGGTTGTTTATTCACTGATGGTAAGACAACTCGTCTTTCGTTGACATGATGCCTTCACAAAACAGATCCTTATTTTCGTAGGGTTCAAATATATAATTTGTGAATTACTCATCGAAAGCCCCATCCCATTTTTTGGCAAAAAATTTATTGGCATTTTAGTACATTTATAACATTTGAAGACGCCCATATTTAATTAATAATAAACTTGTAACATATGGTTAAAAAATGCAATTAAATGTTAATGAGTAGAACAAACTAATTTGGTTCAATTTTTTATTATTTGAATATTGAACTATTTATGTGAGAAGTAAGACTCATTGAAAGTGGATCAAAATATTATTTAGGCCTATTTCCAGTGTTACTGGATTAGAGTTGACTTGGCCTGACTTTTTGGCTTTCTCCAGAATTTGAACGATCTGATACCACAATGCAGCACCGTGCGAAGTTGTTCCGAATTTAAAAATTCAATTGGTGTATGCTTTTAGTATTAAGGGTATTTTCAAGGGTTAAAGGTTTCATATTAGTTATTACAATTTCGTTGTTGCATCTTAAAGAGACATTCGATGATTACTTTTGATAAAATACAATGATATTCACAGTTTAACATGGTAACTTAAAAATTTTAATGGTTATTTGGTTCACTGTGAGGGGGTAAGAAATTAACTATTATATATGCACGTATGTATGTATTATTATAGGATATTGTTTAGAATATGAAATGAAAACAATTCATTAGTTTCATTGTTAATATTATATAATAAAAGAAATAAGACGTACAATGTTTACTTATTAAGTGTGAGAAATTTTAGAACAAAACGTATTAGGAAACGCGTCCGGACATTCTTCATGTGGCTTTGCCCACTTGAAATACTTTTAAATTAGGTCTTTACATAACAAGTTAAGCCTATCACTTAAAAATATTTGTGAAACACTCGTATCATTCCATCCTAACTATATTTTCAATGTATATTTGTAGGAGTAACTGAAAGGAAAAGAGGCAAGTTTGCTAGATATTTCAAAGACACTCCTTCAACCTACTACTATATATTTATTTTATTGAATCGGTTGACCCAAAGGGGAGATAACTACCATTATGCAAGGCGACATCGAGGCAGATTTCGATGAAGACGAAGAAATGCCGTTGACAGAGAGGGACCTCGCGGATGATGCTCAATGGAAACTTATCCAAAAAAACACCTTTACAAGATGGGCCAACGAACATTTGAAGACGGTCAACAAGGGTATGTCCGATCTAGAAGCAGATTTAGCCGATGGATTGAGGCTCCTTGCTTTGGTTGAAGTTTTAAGTGGAAACAAATTCAAGCACATCAACAAGCGTCCAAACTTTCGTACACAGAAATTGGAAAATGTTACTATGGTACTGAAGTACCTGGAGGAGGATGAAGGAATACGAATTGTTAACATAGGTAAGTTATATATATTTCCTTTTTTTTTAAGTTGTAAAAACGGATTTCTTTTTATTTCAATTCTTCATTTAGTGCCCTATTTTTCTCGATGTATCATAACATGTGAGTAAGCTCGAGAAATGTGTCATGTTTCATTAGCCGGCCGGTAGTTTGACAGCGAATCAGCTAAATAAAGTTATTTACTCGCGATAATGTCAAACATTTATTTTGGGACATTTTAGGAAATATATTATGACGTTATGGTTATATTGATTAATTCATATATAATACAAGGAAAGGTTTCCATTTTTATATGGACGATCGATAGTTTTATGTCCTGAAAATTGCAGACATTTTTCCAATTCCCTATGTAATCACTAAGTCATTCAGGTAAACAACGCGAAAGCACACCTTTAACATAAAAGTTATTGAATAGAAGGAGTGAAATGACAGTGTTCCAATAAGTGATAAGAGGGAAGAGTTATGATAGTTAACGTCTTATTATTATGAATATAAAATACTGTACATATAATAAATCAGGCCATTATAGCTGTGTTCAACCATGTACAGTAGATTCAGTAGTAAGCCTACGTGAAAGTGGCTTGTTTGGTTTAAACGTGGGCGTGGTCTACTGTGATAATATGACTGACCTCAATAAAGAAAGGAATGATTGGATTCATCTGTATTTCGGATAGATAAAATTCAATCTCTATCAATTTTCTGATCAATAAAGGGTAGGGTCCTGTGTGAAATGTGAATATGCAGCAACCATTATTTGACAAATAATTGATGAATAAAGAGATGGCTGCCCCAGAAAAACAATATTTAGAATCTCCATTAAATTTTTTTTTATTAAAATTTCCCATCCTATAAAATAGATTGAATAAGTAAATTTTAATCAAAGTCGTTCATTTCACTATTTTCAATATAAGTTATTTGAGTGATTTATAAAAAAAGGAAGTTGACATAGGGTTGATATTTAGAAATAAGCCAAAGGTGATTTGGATTTCTGACTGATTAATAAAAATCATAATGTTTAGGTCACTGTAGGACCTTGGTAAAATAAACTATTTGATCTGAAGGTCACAAGTTAATTGATTTCATCCATCATTTTGACTTTCTACAAGATTTTATTATTAAATTACTTACTTTTCATTATCTGAGAAATTAATTAAGAAATTTTATAATCAGCATATCATCAATTTTGCAATAAACAAATCTGAATGGTCATGTCTTACTGGGCTGAAGTATAAATATTTGAGACCTGCTGAAACTGTGGGAGTTTACTCTATGATTACAGATATGGAAATCATTAACAGATTTAATAAAAATAACAATCATCTTGACCAATTTTTAATTTGTTGGGATTTTTGAAATTATACAATCATTTCATGGATCCCAGAATTTCACTTAATGTAGGTTATTCTTCAGTTAGGGTGTTGTCTGAAGGAACTTGATTATGACTCTTTAATTCATTTCCTTGTCAATGATGTAATTTGAGTGTATGTATCCTACACATTTACATGTCAGTAAATTAACTGTTTAATTTTCTTCTCTATTCATGTAGATTCTTTTAAACAGGGAAGTCTAGTTTGAAAGAAACTCACACAACCATGGTTTAGTAGTTTTTAGTACAATTCAATATAACTGAATAGATTTGGATATTTGTCATCTCAATCATAAAAAGTGTCCTTGGAGTGAGATCTGAAGAAGCACTCACGCAAAACTATGTAGATATCTTTGCTCTTTAGATATTGATATTTTGCTACTACACATCTGACATTTATATACAGTTGAAACAGTTTTTCAAAGGTGAATTATTTTCTAAAAATTTACAACGGAAATTATTATATAGAACATTTTTGATTAAATATCCATTAAATATAATTGGATAATAGTATCAAATTGTTCAAATTTTGACATTCATTACTTCGATATATCATGAGTTCCAAATAAAATGTTAAATTACTGAAGTTATAGTTTGATTGACAGCGTTGATTGTTGAAATCCAGGGTGTCATGAATATGATATCCAAAATTATTTATGTTTTCAAAAATCCAATGATTTTGGATCTTCCTTATAATGAGAAATCTGCAGAACCATAATTTGTTAGCTTTAAATTTTGGTCCAAAACTATATAATTTGCCAACTTTTGCATTAATACAATAGGGAGCTTTTTCTCATGAACAGAGCTTTAAGCTACTACTTAGTAATTGTCCTTGCCAATGTGACTTGTTTTTATGTTAATGAGTTGAAAAAGAATAGTCTTATTAACAGGCTGTTATAGAAAATTATGTTCTGTTTCAATGACTATATTCATTTACACCTACTCCATCAGTCTAGTGGTATATAAGTCTTAAAGTTGCATTGTCAGCACAAAGTCCTATCAATTTATTCAAGAGCAAAGAGATACATGTATATTTCCTGAATACAAATTTGATACAGATTTTTGCAGTAACAGAATAAGATTTTGAAGTTTATTTGTTGTATTTGTTGGGTGATAAAGGTGTGGTGTGTTTATCTATTACCCCTGTCATGCAGGTGTCTTATAACAAACTTCTTACACTATTTACTCTAATCTCTCTTCTCTTCTCAATTACTCTTTCCTACATTTGTACTATTTTACTTCTTCACATCTCTAGTCAAAATACCCACCTATAAATCTTGGGTTCCCCTATTTTCCATATTTCTGCTTTTTTGATCCCGTTTGAATTTCATTCAGATTTTGATGCTGTGCATGATATATTCCCTCCAAATCCTGTAGTTCTTCTTTTCCAACCTTCTGATTCTTCTGTACATAACTAAGCTGTACTGTAAGGAGCTCCAGTACTTACATTTCTATTAAATACTTAGTCAATTGTTTGAATGCTCAGTTAACTCTTCATGTGCTCTAGTTTACTTTGGCTTACCCTCATTCCTATACTCATGTCTTTGATTCATGATAGGTAATTCAACATTACCATTGTGAAAATAGATTTTTCCTTTCTTACAGAGAAATAATATAATGAAAATTGAAATCATTTGACAAGATGTCTATTATTTTATAATTGTTTGAAGTTCAAATATACACTTTATTGTGGGTGGGAGTCAAATTTTTAAAAATTCCAAAGTCCAATCCAGATGTTTTCAAAGTCTATTTTTAAATTATGTTCAGATTGATTTGGGTGGGTCTAAATTTATAATCTTATTTATGTTAGAACTTGAGATAGACCTGATTTTAAATGATTAATAAAGTTTGAGGTTTGCCTTACCCCTTGAGATTTTCAAGTAGTAGTTGAAGAGTTTTGGGGCAGATTATATTTTGTCAATACTCCAAATTTATATTGTATTCACTGACAGCTTTATTTCACTTTTCATTGTTTAAGGTCCCTAGTGTGACCTGTAATGTGTTGGAGAGTAGCATAAATTTCTGTAATTTTGATTTGCAATAATTCAGAACAAGTATTGGATTTTACCTATTTTCTCTTTACATGCAGTCACAAAAGTAACCATGTCAGTAATATTCTTTGCAAATTTTGGCAAACGTTGAAAATGCAATTGTTCGATGTTGTAAAAAGGCTATTTATTGAGACTTCGCCAGATACATAGTTAATTGTTTTATGATTACGATGATCATTTTGGTTAAAAATAAGTTTTGGAAGGGTAATGTGTGGTTACTGACATTAAACTAAGTGTTCTGGTAATGTCAAACTATAATTTATAATGTTGACAATGATAAAAAGAGAGTGGACCAGGCTAGGGTTTACTATAAACTTGTTTGTTTAGATTATCATGGTAGTAGTTATCAATACTATCTCAAGTCATTTAGTTGTAGGCTAAGTGACTACAGTTTGAAGTATGGTCATCTTTGATAATGGTCCTATGTTTCAAAAATAAAACTGGCATTAAAAAATATTTATTGTCTTTAGCAAAGTATAAAAGCACCAAAGATCATGTCAGACAATGTCTCTCAAGAAGATAGTTGCTTGTTCCTTTTTCCTTTTTCAAACTCTCCCAAGTGTGTTGCAGGCTATGCATGTTAAAATTATGCAGCTGTCCTGACAAAACTTTCCCCATTACATGTCGCTTAGCATTGTCACTCTACACAGAGTTGTGTAAGGTTTTCAGTGACTTTATCCTGACAAAACACAAAATCAGCAGATTTATAATTAACAGGGCTGTAAGAATTATAAGATTACCATAGAGAAAATAATTTTTTTATGCTAGCCAAATTCCTAAGGTATAGGAATATTATTTTGACCTAATAGATAGATATAACATGACCTTTATCAATCTATATTTATATGATGAACACCAGATGGTTGGGGTGTTTATAGTTCATCTTGTCTGTAGTTGATCAAAATAACTCCCATCACATTCTACATGTATAGTTTATCATCTCTTTTCAAATGGAATTTGATGATTTCTGAATTTGAAATTGTTTTGATAGGAATTTGATCTAAATTAAAAATAATAATTACCCACTAACTTTCGGTTATTAAATGATTGCAGGTCTGAAATGAATTATATCAAAATTGTGTAAGTTTGACATGTCATGATGCCTTTAATCAACTACATACAGTACTCTTTAAACTAATATATAGTGGTGATTTTCTTTACCTAAGGCATAGTTTGGTAGAGTTGATCAGTGTGAGATATATAAATAATAGACTAATAGAAGATTCATGAAGATGGTTGACATATTAGTTATTTTGTAGAAAAACTTTATGAAAGTCATCTGGAAATTAATCAGCGAATTGTTCTGTATAATTGAAATATATGTATTTAGACATAAATGTACTTACTAGCAAGAGCAGCTAAATACATTATCTATATTATTCTGATATTAGTGTCACAAGATGAACATTTTTACTCTTTTAACTACTCATTAAAGGTAAACTTTATCTAAAAGGGATCATGGTAATTCTAGTACTTGAATTTGTTAAATCTAGCATTGACCTATATACTGTTGAATAGATGCTTAAACAGGTTGAATTCCACACGGTCACAGGTATATAAAACATGAGAGAACAGACAGAGTCCACAGGTTATTTACTTTCTAAATGTATCTAGTTATTATCATAGTGTTTAACATATCTATTGAAACCGACTACCTTTATTCACAATCTTGTATGCCTGAATGCCTAGACATAATGGATCACTTTGTACAATCATCCACAGATGTAACCTGTTTAATACTGGAGCATACTTGTCATTAGAACACTAGGAGGTTTTATTTAAATCTACAATAGAAAATAATAAAATCTCTAATGATAAATGATTTACAAGAATCATTGTGAAGAGAAAACAAGTTTGGCTATCCATTTGACTTTTAATTTTATAATTACATAGGAAACTGTCCTTTTTATATCGTAATGAAAATCAGACGAATCGAAAAATATTTACTATGAGTTATTGCCCTTGTTCTTGAAACGCTCGTAAACACTCTAGAAGGTGCAATTCATGATGGATTTTGATGAAACTTGATATGAGTGTTCGTAATCGCCCAAAGATAAACCCTATTGAAAATCAGAAAAATTGAAAAATATTTAGTATGAGTTATTGCCCTTGTTCTTGAAAACGCGTTCAATTTGTAAACACTCTAGAAGGCACAATTCTTGGTCAATTTGTAGCTCATAAAAACTTTAGATGGCATGATTCTTGCCGAATTTTGACAAAACTTGGCTTTTTTATTCATTATTGCGCTGAAGATTGAATATTTGTCTTCTAGAGTTTTCACAAGCTAAAGATTGAACACGTCTTCAAGGACTAGGACAATAACTCATACTCAATATTATTCAGTAACGCCCTAAAGAGTTCAAAAGAAGTGTATGACTGAAGGTTGAATATTTCATTCTAGTGATTGTTACTGTACTGCTAAATATTTATGTTCAAAATCAAAGCTGCCAGCGGGCTTATATTACCTTGCCTGGCAAGCTATCTTTCAAAACCAGGGTACATCTTATAAAGTAAACTATATATATTTTCTGCTAGTTTGAGGGTTTTATCATCCCACTCTAAGCCTTTAGATTAAAAAAGTTTTTTTTTTCATTGAGAGTGTCTCAGTTTCCAAATCTGCCTTTGATCAAAAGTCAATCTGGGCATGAGCTTTTTTAAATGTGATGATATTAGGAAAAGCCATTGAATGCATCCAGTCCTGGGTTGTTATTTTTGAAGTGTCAGGGGTATTATGAAGATTTGCATCATTTCGGTTGACTGATTTAATGCACACCTAGAGACTAAGATGATAAAGAGTGAGGGAAGAAAATTTTAATGTGTATGAGTGAAGAATTTCACATTGTAAAGATGTTACTCATTTTGTAGTAGAATTAATACAAATATCTTCTGAATTTGACATCTTCATTGACTAAGAGATTTAAAAAGATTATCCCACTCAATGGTAATATTATAAAATTTATCTTTCAACAACACATTCTTTTTCTTAAAGGTCAAACCTTTTCTGACCTGGAAACCTGAAATTATCTGTCCCACCCAAAGCCTTAGGCCAGTCATAAAATAAATCAGTGCATTAATACTATTTTTTGTTTTTGTTTGATACATTCATGATTTTCAATATGAACTACAGTGGATCAACTTGTGTGATTGATGCCCTGTTGTTCTCTCTTGGTGTGATAAATCTCCCTAGAATTTTGCAAGATTATTTGATTTGTGACTGTGGTGTGGTGTACCTGTCTGTTCACTTATATTTCTTAGTATGAAATAAACAGGAAACAAGGTTCTGAATTGTATAGCCTTTAAATCAACAGGATTTCATTACAGCTCAGTGCATGTAAGATGAAAAGGAGTGGTTGGTCTGACATTGAAAAGGTCTAATTTTAAACGACATTTAAACCTCCATTACATTGAAGAGCAGAGTGTGTAGTAGTCAGACCTTATATGGCAAGTTTGTTGTATAGACATCATTATTTAACTCAGCCTTATATGGCATGTCTACTAATTAATATGGGTGTTGATACAGTAAACTGCTGCTGGCTGTAATATTTATCTTCTCATTAAATCTTCACAATAATGTCATAAAGCTTAATATGATTGACATAGAAATTTATTTTGTCTGATACCGATATACAAATTAGCAATGAATTACCGTGGCAATCATGTATCATTATTATGATTCATTGGCAAAATTGCAGAGCATATGTATCATGATTTCTAAGAATTTGATATAAATTTTAAAACTGGGTTTAAACTGAAATCAAAGCTTTGAAGTGATTGACATGTTTAGATGGTTATAATAACCAAGTTTTTCTATGATAATAGTTTTACAGTTGATTGAGTACATTCCTACAATTTTTGTAGGGGTATTTATTGTTATATTCTATGTAATGGTGTTAGCTCTCAATAGTAGGCCACATATATAAAACTATCCTTAAAAATGACAAATATTTCCTACTAGCTAGATTTTTGACATGTTAGTCGAAATGAATGTATACAGGCAATAATTGAACAAATAGCTTATTTAATATGAAACAATTGTCTACATTTTTGAAAAATAAGAGCAAATCAGTGTATCTTAAATAATATAATGTACTATGATATAATTAATGAGACTTCCTAATTATAAGACCAATTAAATATCAATAATTATATATATACAACTAGTCATAATTACATTTCATGATATATCCAGTTATGATATAAAAGAAAAGAATTTATACTGTTTCAATTAACAAATCAATATAAATTTTAAATAGAAAAATAGAGATGGCTTGTTAAATTATCAGGTTTTAACTTGAATGTTATGGCAGAAACATAAGTATGATGCATTTTTCATGCCAAAAGCTATACTTTGCAATGCTAGATATTTCTGTATAAACTATATATTTTACAAAAGTGGGTGTTATATGTTTTGAATGGTTTTAACAGTTGTTTTTGACACGCGTATGACTTGTTAAACACTTTATTAATGTCAACTGAATAAAAACTGTAAATTTCTTACATATTTCTTATGTGTTATTGTAGTGTAAATTTCTATTTTAATTTTTGAAGCCATAAGTATAAGATATTGAAAACAGATATTGTGAAAATGCAAGGAAAAAGGAGATATGTAAATGCCCAAAATTCTTCCAGCAGATATAATTACCTATCTCTATTTCTTAAATATAAGTCCTTTTCAAAATTTGATTTGAAATATCAGAAAAATGGAAAAGTCTACATAAAGTATTATATATAGTTGTATAAGCTTACCTCTGTATTAGACATTAAAATGTCCTGTACCATGGTGTGAAAATTGACCTAAATTGTACTGAAATATATTTGAACTTATTTGATGTCAAATAATTAATATCCTTTATTAATTTATATTTTTCAGATTCAACAGATATTGTAGACTGTAAATTAAAATTAATCTTAGGTTTAATATGGACACTTATTTTGCATTATTCTATCTCCATGCCAACATGGGAAGGAGAAGAATTAACACCATCAGATGGAGCTCCTACACCCAAACAACGTTTATTGAACTGGATCCAGACTAAATGTCCTGATATACCAATTAAAAACTTTACCACTGATTGGAATGATGGTAAAGCTATTGGTGCTTTGGTTGATGCTGTTGGACCAGGTATGTTATATGTGAAATTATCTCTCGATCTGTGCGAAGAATATCCTTCATTTTTTTTTTGAAACAATAATAGATACTATGCATCTTTTGGAAGTTCATTTTGTTCCATAAATGCCGTTCTTATTTCTATTTCAACCTTTATTAAATATTGATCTCTAATGTATTATAGGATTGTGCCCTGACTGGGAAAACTGGGATCCTAAGAAGAACAAGGATAATGCTACAGAAGCTATGGATGCTGCTGAGAAGTGGCTGGATGTACCTCAGGTAGGCATACCTTATCTTTCTAACTGACTGACAATACCATAAGCTTACAGATTTGTTGTTAGATCATGCCATTAAGCACAGAAAAAGTTATCAGCAACTGTTACCATTAATTACTAATCAAAAATTTAATACTCAACAACTGCTATTAGTAGATTTGAGTGAAATTGTAATTTATACTTAAGAGATAATAAGAAATTTGCAATGAAAGTGAAAGCTTTTCTCAAATTAACATATAAATATTAAGCAGTAAAAAAGTTTGAGATTCATTCTCCATCAGGGTGTTAAGTACATTCTGATTACAAATGTCACAACATGATGAAATATTTCCTGATAGATCATAGGCCAACAAGTTTCTTTGTCAAATTATTTAAAAGGTATAAGCTTATAATTATTTTATACTTTCTGATAACTGTAGTGTTCGAATAGTGATAAACAAAATGTAAAAATAAAAATGAAATTATAAATCAAAAGTTCTAAATCTTGAACATGTACCAGCCTGTTATTAGTGGCAAGAAACATGAAAGGAGTGTGCCAAAAGTAATCTGATATTGTTCTGGCAAAGTCCCAGTATAAGTAAAGAGAAGGTATTTGACTGACAAAGCACTTTTCACTGTTATATCTATATTATATCTACCTGGTATATAGCCTAGTTTTGAAAAAATAAAATTGTAAGCATATTTTATCTGAATGAATGACACTTTATAGGGAATTGTCTGAATCTCAAATTTTTCACTTTGATATCTCAGGAGAACTTCTCAAATTAACATCCGATATAAAATTAAGAGCAAATTAAGCTACATTTTTGCTAGGGCTAGGCCTGCATAGCACTTTTCTAATATTGAGTTTGACCATTGACAAACAGTACAGATATGATGAGATCATGGTGGTTGTGGCTGCAAATTGGATTACGTTGTGTATGCTGAGCATTATAATAATGAACAAAATTGCAAATTACAAAAATGTACCTTACCTGGTTGTTATTGGCAGGTTGATAACAATTCTTGTAGTAACAGATACTGGAATTCTGAGGCATTTTTCATGCTGTTCAGATACTTAGATGCAACATAGTTTGCATGGTTTTTATTGTTTTATCTTGTCAATTGCTTTGATATATCTGCTATTAATTGTCAAAACATTACCAGACACTAACAATATACAGTGAGAAAGTCATTCTCTGAAAAGAAATGTATTTGTTGTTGAGAAAGTTAACAACAATGTGTTTTAGATACTTTTGTTTTAAAAAGTTACATAGTACTTAGTCTAAACTTCATATTATAATATTCATAAAGTTCTTTGAATATGGGCACCATAAACAAGATATAATACTCTTATTTAGTAACTAATATCTCATGTCAGATCCTTAATGTCTGTGCCTGAACTGAGCTGACTCTAACTATCTACATGACCTTGACTAGGTGATAAAAATGGTTTACAGGCAGGTAATCTGTTTAACAGAACCTGGTACAACCTCTACTGAAGTCATTTATTTAAACTATACATCATTTTCAGAGTTGGATATTAATGTGCTTTTCTATCTTCAAGAAATTAAATTCAACCAACAAATTACTAAACAAATGTTTGTTGGCAAGCTCCATAAAATCCAATTTATTCAAAGACATACCTATAAGGCATGGGTTTAAAAGTGAGATACCTGACCATAATTGCATAATAACAATACATAGCAAATAAAGCTATTGGTTTATCTATCTGTGTATTATTGAAATCTGTGGTGTCTAGCAGTCATTAGATTTAGAATCTGTAGCTAGAGTGTTGGCAGGTATATCCGACTAGTTATTAAAGGGTTGGTTATATTACTGGTATAATTGAGTGTTAATTAGATTTAGTGGTGTCTAGTTTATCTTAATAAAACTGGTATTGACACCTTGAATTACTTAGATTATTACACTATACATACAGTCAGCTATATTATAACTAATAGTTCCTTGTATCAACTAAAACAATACTTGAATGCTTTAAAAATCAAATCAACATGTAAATTATGCATTAAAGGGTGGTTATCATTACAGTATTTTTGCTAAATCAGCTGATAAAGCTCTCGAAGGAGAAATGTACAAAACAATCTCCCATTGTAGATCATGTTAAATCAAATATTCTAAACATGTGTATAAAACATTAGTGTAAAGGTACATTAGTAAAATAATGTGATATTTTTAGTGTAATGATAATCTTTAAACAACCATTTATCATTGTACTATCTTGATATACACTGAGTGATAGTTATCTTTAGTATACTACCTACAGTTTGTATATACCTTTCCAAAAATGGGTGTCTAGCTGTTTTACAAAACTTCTGACAATAGAAAATTCACACAACTTTCTTAAAAGTACAGCAGGAAATCCTTGGATATAATTCCTACTTTACACCATTTTTAATGAATTTTCAGAATATTTTGGAACAAACTTCTTAGCTGGGTTAACCATAGGCAATACTAACAGTCTCACCAATATAAGTTATGCATATCAAGCGGAGTCTACTTTTATAGGAATCTCTTGAAAAATACAGTTTGACTGTTATAACCATACTTGAAACTTATTTTATATGACAAAGAAGATAGGGTTGTGCACATGAGCAGCTTTAAATTCAAGTATATTGGTATTAAAGACATTCCAATTAGACAGTTTTCACTGATCTATTTGATAAGTAACATAGTAGAAAAAGATTTTTGGCAAGAATGAAGATTTATTTAGGTTGATGGAATCTTAGACTTGTGTTAAAATAGATTAATCATTTTCTGTTCATTCTAATGAGAATAGATAACTTAATGATTATCTGTTAGGTAAATACTCCCAACTAACCTGTTATCAGAAATTATTTATTTATTAGAAAATAGTTTTTACTTATTTTTTTTATGATCTCACTAGTGCTTTCAGAAATCTGAAATCTGATTCAATGTCAGTGTGACACAATAAACAGCCAGTGTTAATTCTGAAACCTTATATTTTGTTCATTTCAGTTGATCAAACCCAATGAATTGGTCAATCCTAAAGTTGATGAGATGAGTATGATGACTTATCTCTCTCAATTCCCTAATGCTAAACTTAAACCAGGAGCACCAACCAGACCCAAACTTAACCCGTCACGTGTCAGAGCTTATGGACCAGGTTTGGAGCCAAAGGGTAACCAAGTTGGAGCACCAGCCAGATTCACTGTTGAAACATTCAGTGCTGGTAAAGGACAAGTTGAAGTTATGGTATTGAATCCCAAAGGACAGAAGGAACCAGTAAGTTCATTTTTAAACAATGCATTTCCTGCACATTTATCAAGTAGCAAAATATCAAATGGCATCAAGTGCAAGTTTTACACATCATATCTTGGCTTGTACTCTTTAACATGTTTTGTTTATTTTCAGTGTGAATGTACCTTTAATAATGATAGAAATATGACCTATTCCTGTGTGTATGTACCCAAAATGGAGGGTGAATATAGAGTCATTATCAAATTCTCCAGCAAAGAAGTCAACAAGAGTCCATTCCTTGTTAAAGTCGAAGGTGCTGCTGGTGATGCTTCAAAGGTCACTGCCACTGGACCGGGTATTCAAAAAACTGGTGTTATTGCTACCAAGAGAACTTATTTTGAAGTTCATACCAAAGGTAATTATTTGATAGACAAAATTAGACATCATATAATTGAAAATACTGCTCATAATTCAATAATCATAAAGGACTTGAAATTATTTGTGATTTTTTTCAAGATTAGTGAAGTGAATGTATGAGAATGTTTGAAAGTTGGAGTAATACCAATTTTAGTTTTATTCAAAAAAAATTTTAACAATGAAAAGTACAAAGACAAACCCCAGTATATTCTTTATGAAGCCCATTATCAAAATTAATTCATACCAACATTTTTTACTTCATACACAAATCATATTAATTTAAACAATAATGAAAGATAAAATGTTTTACTATAACAAAGCATATTGATAATATTGAATGACATTTGGTTTTTCCCCATAAACAATTATTGACTAACTGCTATCATAGTTTGAGATTGACTTTATTTCTTTTAAAATTTAGCAATTCATTTTCAAATATTTTCCTTGTACACATATCACACTCAGAAACATGATGTACAAGACTTTCAATTTCCTTACTTCCATTACTTTCAGCAAAACCAATGCCTAAGACTGGTGAGTGGTGTCAGAGTGGTTTTAATACCATTCTCTCGCAATATATTTTCCATACAGTTATGACTGTTCCGCTGTTCATATTTTTCTTCTGTCCATGTTATGTCCATGTATTCAATCAAATTGTTCATCCTACCCTGAACTCTTCTTGAAATAATGATGTTATACCTACATTAACTCATGTTGCTTTACATTTTATTACAGACCATTCCTTATTCATGTTTATTTCAATAGTTTGAAAGTTTCATTTGATCATTTGATTAATGATCATCATAGATTGATCTTTCATTCTGAAAATGGATTATCATTCGTTTGTCATTATAAACATAGATCATTCATTCACCATTGAAAATGATCATTCAATGTGAAATTGATCAATCCTTCAATTCAATGTGAAATTGATCAGTCCTTCAATTCATTGTGAAATTGATCAATCCTTCAATTCATTGTGAAATTGATCAATCCTTCTATTCATTGTGAAATTGATCAATCCTTCAATTCAATGTGAAATTGATCAATCCTTCAATTCAATGTGAAATTGATCAATCCTTCTATTCATTGTGAAATTGATCAATCCTTCAATTCAATGTGAAATTGATCAATCCTTCAATTCAATGTGAAATTGATCAATCCTTCTATTCATTGTGAAAATGATCAGTTATTTTATTGATCATTTATAATGAAAATAACAGTCAATGCATGGATTATGGATGAATGTTGGATGTTTTGATGTTTGTGAAATATTCTTGAAATCATAACAAAAATTCACTAATTAATTTTAGATGCAGATGGTGTGTATAAGTTGAAAACTATTTTGATCTTCTTATTTTGATTGATGCTTTTCTCGCAAATTCATGGCAGTAGAAATTTTCATCTTCTCAATTTTGGCTTCTATGGAAATTTGGGTCCACTAATTTGGAATGAATCATACTCATTTGCCTATTTGCCAAGTCACATGTCTAAATTCATACCTTCATTGACCTGCTTATGTTCAAGAATATATTACTTACTAATTGTTGTCAATTAAATCAATATTAACCCTTGTGTTTCAGGAACTTCCTCTCTTGGACTATCTTTTTCACAAAAAAATTAAAAAGAGTTCCTAGCATAGTTGACAGAAAATACTGTGTAAGAAAACTTGATCATGTGTTGTAAGCAATGCCATTCTGCGTCATGTTAAATGTACAGACTTGATTTTCATATTTTGGTTCTTTTTGCCTTTCTTTAGCGGCTGTTTTTGGTATTTTTAACGGTATTGAAACATTTTTTATCATTTTACTGTATAGTCAATTTAATTGTTTTTAATAGCTTACATTGTTTGTCCTGGGATAATGGTGAATTAAATACATCATTTTTATACTTTAACCTGTAATATTGGCGAAGGAATTATAATGGTCAATAGGGAAATGAAGTTAATATTACTAACATAATGAATGTTTTTAATTTTACTAACTGATTTTATTGATGTTTCGAATTTGTTAACATTTTTCATCAATTTCACACATTTCATTTAAAAAATCCTAAATTACTTTAATTTCTTGTCAAATGGCGTTTCTGGTTGGTATTAAATTTCGTATTGTAATTTTTGATTGCATTTTAGACAAATTTGATTCACTCATTGAATATTATGAAAACTCTATATTAAATGAAAAGAAAAATTGCTTTTTAACAAGAAATATAAACCTTATTCCACCATTAACCCTTATTTCATTTCATTCTATTTATTTCACTTTCTGTCATCAATTTGTCACAAATTTCTTACAGTGGTCTTCATATTTGGGATTTGTATTAACTCCAATTATTTGAATTTGAAGGCAACTTTTGCAACAGTGTGAATTTTAACATTACAGCAACTCAAAGATTGAACATCATTAAGAAATGTGACAAAGATTATTTATTCTTCTCTATTCAATATAATATATGGAATGATGTATAGATATTGTAGCTTGTAGTATAGTTGTAGTTTTAGTAAATTTATATATTCCAATAACCAAATAGTAAATATCATATTGATAATTTTAATCCAATATTATTTTAGATTCTTTTGTATGATACAAGTAGTTCAAAATTAGATCACATTACTAGAAACTTTAAAACTTTTTTTTGTTTCACCTCTTAGAAAATTAGATGAAATATTTTGTAAGATTAGTAAGTCCTGTTGCTTTAGTTCACATGTTGTCTTAGGAATAGCTCTAGTTTCTCTTCCATTAGTTGTAAATATTTTACTAAAATATACAATAACAATTATCCATTATAGGGCATTAAATTGCTTTTGATACTTGTCTTTTTAGCATCTGAATTTTCAATTATCAACATCCTTATCAGACTGCTTTTGATTTCTTTATTGCTTTGTAGCCACTTTAAAACATTAGTATTCTTGATAGCTATATATATTGTTCTGTATTTTGTATATAGTGCAACTAAATTATTTGATTTTGGAAATTTTGGAAAGCTACACATACATCCATAATGTTTGGAATGAATAAGACAAGTGTCAAAACAATATCATTAATCATTACCATGTATCAGAAATAACAACTATCAACAACTCTATACATGTATCTATATATATACATTGTTTTATTTTCACTTGTAGCTGCTGGTAAAGGACAAATTGATGTGGCCATCCTAGATCCACATGGTCATCGTGATAAGATCCGACCCATGATTAAACCAGTAGAGGGTAAAGAAGGAACATATTTAGTGGAATACCAACCCCATGAGCCTGGACTTCATTCAGTCAATATCTTCTTTGCTGGTCAACAGATACCAAACAGTCCTTATGGTGTACAAGTTTCTCCAGGTATGTCTTCACAATTTGCACAAATCTTCTAAATTAAGCTAAATTAATATCTTGAGGGTTAAAGATGATCAAAAGGATCTAGACATTAAAATTATCAGTAAGTTTCAATTCCCAAAAGAAAGATCTATGTGGTGAGCTGATGCTCTATTTGGTTTTCTATGTGCAATGATGTGTTCGATACACTTGATTAGGTAAAGACCCGACCCGTATGAGATAATATTCTTATTTCAATGCAATTGAAATCACTTATTATTTCTATCAATCAAACAGAAGCAGATGGTAAGGTGGAGAATGAATCTCACAGGACATTGGCTCTTTCTGAAACCATTCACTTGACTGTTGGTGGAAGGAAAACTTGCTAGATGCTTGATTGCGCCAAACTTTACTCTATCTCTATATTTATTTGTCTATACTTTCTACTTGTTTCAGCTGGTAAACGTAGGTATCTCTGTATATTTGACCCTGTCCCTACAACAACTGAAATTAAATCCGCATCTTATTTAATTTCAAATAATATTGAGTTTTTATTGTTAGATATTTTCTTTCAAAACAACTTGGCTAGTAAATGTAGTCATAAATATCTAAGTTTTAAGAAGTAGACAGTGTTGTGTGAAATGGAGAATATGATACTAATATTTACTTTCAAATGATTATGTAGATTATGAAAAGTATTACAACACTGAGTCATGGTTAAATTACGATTGTACAGAATGAATATTTTATAGGATATCAGTATGCAATTTGAAAGAGTAAAATAATTCTTATCAGGCAGTAAAGTCATTATCCCAAAACGTGGGTTTCTTAAGCTTAAATTAATTAAAATTAGAATTGATTGTAAATTTCAGCTACCAAACGTAGGTGTAGTTAATGATATTTCTGTTAAAATCTATTGATTTACTCTATCTATCTTGTTTTTTTTGAATTCTCAAGTTTATGAGACAAAAATTTAATCAATTGATAATCTTCATTTCTTTGTTCATTCTAACAATGAATAATGTGAATAATATGTAAGAATGATATTATATTTTTTAGTTGGATTGTATTCTGTTTTCCTTTTTATTTTTGATTTTGTTGTGGGGATTTTTTAGTTTGTTATAAGAAGATGCAAATGATTTATTATGTTCATTGAAAGCCATAAGTGTTTGAATTTAAATCAAGATGAGGGAAGGGGTGGGGTAAAGTTTATCTATGACCCAGTAATAATCCCACCCAATTTCCACTTAACAACTGCTCAGAATATTGCTAACAACATTGTTCACATTGTGTTTTTGGCTGTTCAAATGCTTCATAGTTACTCTTTGCTGGACTAGCATGATACTTGAGTGTAAAATTTTGATTATCGTAAAACAGAATAGCTAGCAAAGTAATAATAATAGGTGATAGATAACCTTTATTAAAGTTTTTTTTCCAGAGACATTAGTTTGTGTATTATATTTACCTTTCTGAAATAAAACAATTGAAATCCAAGTATTATGATCCTGTAGTTTTAATTTTAATACATCATGATATTGTTTTTTCAGCATCCAATGCTAAAGCTTGTTATGCTACCGGACGTGGTATACAACCAAGAGGTATTCGTGTACGAGATAATGCTGTCTTTAAAGTACATACTAAAGGTGCTGGTGAGGGTGAGGTCAAAGTTCAGATCATTGGCCCAGGTAAGTGATAAATATTTAGTTTGCAAAAATATTCATTCAACTTATTAAATCTAAATTTTCAGATAAGAAACTAGCTTTGTAATATTATAATCTTTGACTTCATACAAATATTTGATGTATTTGCACCTCAATATGTGATCTTATTAAAAGAATCAAAATCAATTTGATTTTTCAGGAGGTGCAGAAGAGAAGTGCACAATTAAACCAATACCAACAGAAGAAGGTGTCTTTGAATGTATTTACGTTCCATCTAAAGCGGGCAACTATGTCATTAATGTTACTTTTGGAGATCAACATATTTCTAAGAGTCCCTTTAAAGTTGAAGTTGGACCGTTTAAGATATCTAAGATAGTAGCCTGGGGACCTGGTTTGGAAGGTGGTGTTGTTGATCAACCAGCTGTCTTTACTGTAGAAACTAATGGTGAAGTTGGTGCTCTTGGTAAGTATCTTTTACTGCTGAAATACATTAAATAAACAATCCTGAAATTCATTGATTTGGTTTTTAATATGAACAAACTCTTTAAGTATGCTAGAATCTGATCTTTCTTGTTTTATTTTTCAGGATTCTCCATTGAGGGACCATCTCAAGCTAAAATCGACTGTAAAGATAATGGTGATGGTTCAGCTGATGTTACATACTGGCCTAAAACACCAGGAGAGTATGCTGTTCATATCTTGTGTAATGATGAAGATATTCCCAATTCACCATACATGGCTCAAATTACACCTGCCACTAAAGATTTCAATGCTTCCAAGGTAACTAAATTATTGCAGCTCTAAAGAATTCTTGATTCTCTATTATATTTTGTAATTTTAATAACAATTTGCAAATTACAACTGCGAGAAAATACAAAAAAACATTAAGAATATGATATTGAATAAAGTTTTATTAAATCAAAACGGTATATTTGTAGGTTATTGCCAAGGGTCCTGGTTTAGAGAAGACTGGTTGTCAAGCTAATCAATGGGCTGAATTTACAGTTGATACCCGTAATGCTGGTAAAGCTCCATTGAAGATATCTTGTCTTGATGTAGACTTTAAACCAGTTGATGTACAAGTTACTGACAATAAGAATGGTACCTATAGCTGTAAATACATGCCAAAACGTAATGTTAAACATACAGTTGTTATTACCTATGGTGGTGTACAGATACCTAACAGTCCATTTAGGGTAAGATAACCGATGTTTGTGAATGGAAATTTAAATGTAAGAATTAGAATTAAACTGGTTTTACCCTACATATCATTTATTGAAAGAAACAAAAAGCCTTGATTTGAAGATTCTAACCGATTGTTTATAATTGTTTCATAATTAACTCTACTGTTGAATTCTGCAATCAATTTGTAATTTGTTGTTTTCCCACTAGGTGATGGTATCTGAACCCTGTAACCCAGCTAAAGTCAAGGTATTTGGACCTGGTGTAGAGAAGGGTGTTAAAACAGCAGCTAAAACTCACTTCATTGTTGATTGTAAAGCAGCTGGACCAGGTATGTTAACTTGATATGATATGTCTCTCGTGTGGTCTAATTCTCATTAGAGTTAATTAAGTACATTTTACAATCTTGAACAGAAAAGTGATGCATGGTTGAAAGGATCACTTGTTAGGTGAAATCTGATGTTTGCACATTCCAAAGACATTCTTTTATTTACAGGTGATGTTGCTATTGGGTTAACTGATGAGAAGGGTATGGATGTACCAGTTAAAACTATTGATAATAAAGATGGTACATTTAGAATTGAGTATGAACCCAAAACACCAGGCACATATACTGTCATGGTTTACTTTGCTGACAAAGAAGTTCCACAAAGTCCTATCAAGGTCAATGTCACATCTAGTATTGATGTTAGCAAAGTCAAGGTTGTTGGATTAGAGCCACGTAAGTGTTTATGAGATTTGATTTTTGGTTGTATACTTTTGATATGTAATATATATTGCGATGGTGATTTATCTCTCATTCTCTCCTATTGATTTGGATGATAAAAAAAATGTCATGATTAAATGCTATGTTTTGAGGAAGTTCTGTCCCTTGTGGAATTTGACGTGATTTTGATGTGTTTCTATCTTTAAATACTGTATATTCTATATTTGTTTTTCTATTAGATACAATTGTATCCATATTCACACATTTGGTTAGCCTGATGTTGTCCCATAGTCAAATTTAGTTTGAAATGTTTTTCATTTTTATATATGTATTGTTTTTAACTTCACAAAATATCCTTATTTAATTTATCCTTCCCTTATAAAGAAATGCCAGTGGGAGTTCCACAACAAATAGGTATCCAAACAACTGCTGTCCATAGACTACCCAAAGCTGATGCTAAGGTTACTATTACAAATCCACAAGGAAAGAAAAAGGAAGTACCAACTGAGCCTGCACCAGATGGCCACACTGCCAAACTTCTGTTTGACATGCCTGGACCCCACAAGGTTGCTGTTGAGTATGCTGGTGTTGAACTTCCCAAGTCACCATTTGCTGTAGAAGCAGTACCTTCTAAAGCAGCACCCAAACCAGTAGAAGAAGAGATGATGGGTAAACAGAAGGCCCCAGGACAAAAGGCTGGAGCCCCACTTGCTGGAGCCCCACCAGGCACTAAACCCAAACCAAATGTCAAGGCTTATGGACCTGGTCTTAAAGGGGGAAGAGCCTTAGAACCAGCAACATTCACTATTGATGCTAAACAAGCTGAAGGACCTGGTGGTTTAGGTGTCACTGTTGAAGGACCAGCAGAAGCTAAGATTGAATGTAAAGATAATGGTGATGGAACATGTGAGGTAGCTTATTTACCCGAGGTACCTGGAGAATATGCCATCAATGTTACATATGCTGATGAACACATCCCAGAATCTCCATTCAAGGCTAAAATTGAACCATCTGCCTTTGCTCCTGGAAGTGCTCCATTAGCTGGTGCACCTGGTGCTCAAGCTCCTGTTGGACTTGGAAATGTCAAAGCTTATGGACCTGGACTCAACCCCAATGGTAAACATTTTGCGCATGGTTTGGTCTCAGCACAATTTATTCTAGGAAATGAACTAACTGTCATGGATGATGAACTAATTTCAAATGAAAAACTAATTATTTTCTAAATGTTTGGTAGCGCATGGACTAAATTGTTTTTCAGGATAATTTTTTTTCTATGATTTGTTCAGCTTCCCTACCTTCAATGTTGTCATAATTTTGTTTACATTTTTTTTATTTTCCCTGTGGATCAGATTTCATTGGAATCATTCATCAGTTTTGTTAAAACCATTTCATATCTTATGATTATGTTTTTCCCTGATTTGCTTCTGTTCTTTATGTCTTTAATTCAGCTCGTTTAATTTTGATTCAAATTTTCTACTAAAAACTTTTGAATGATCATGAAATATTCCTTTTACTTACAGCTTCAAGAGATGATTTTGAATTTATTAACAAAACTTTAGATTCTTGAAATGTCTACTAATCATATTGCATTTTCAAATTGCTATGGCTTATACTGAATATTGTTCTTCATTGACTTTCCTTGCAATTGATGGTTCCCTGTAAACTATAATACAGCTTATGATTTATAAAATTGGGTAAAACACTTTCTTTAAGATAGCAGTCTGTTTGTGATCTATTTGATAAATGATCTTTATTTGAGATGAATATGAAACAAAATTAATCTTGCTGTTTTGATTGATGAATTCTAACTTATTGTTTATATTTTCTAGGTGTTTTTAAAGAGTCACCAACTGAGTTTACTGTTGATGCTAAAGCAGTACCTAATGCAGCCACTGGTAAAGTTAGAGCTATTCTTACTGATCCTACAGGACAGAAATTCGAAAGTCCTGTAACCAACAATAATGATGGTACATTCAATGTGGCTTACACAGCTTTTGCTGAAGGTATGTGACTTCTTTGTTTTTTCGTTCAATTATTGTCACGGCTGTTTGAAAAATAAGACAAGACATACAAATTATATTGTTAAAATTAAACCATCCATGACCATAATTTAATGTCTTGTTTTAGGTCCACACACTATTGATGTTACATACAATGATGCTCCCATACCACAGAGTCCATTCAAAGTTACATCAATCCCTGGTTGTGATCCTAGCAGAGTTAAAGCCTATGGACCAGGTAATATAATTGAGTTTATCACAGTGATATATTCAAACAATTGGGCTATTAAAGTCTTTTTATGTGTTTGATTTATTTCATTTTAACAAAAAAATAGATATATTAGGCCATACAAAATAAATAGTCTGTTTTACAGGCCTTTTTTTCAAAAATCGGGGCTAGAGGGCAAATTTATTATATATTATTTATAAGCGCTTTTTTAGATTTTCAATTGGGATAAATCGGAGCGAGCGAAAGTATTTATTATTTATTTCCATAAATTTAATGTACATTTAATATTAAGGCAACAATCAGGCACTTTTGGGCCTGTAAAACAGACTATTTATTTTGTATGGTCTTAGTTTCAGTCAAAATATTTAACTTAATTTAAATTCTGTGTTATGTTATTTAAACAGGTAGAGTAATAACTTATGTTCCAAGAGTTAAATGATATATATGTTTATTGTCAGGTCTACAAGGTGGCTACACTAACCAGGATGCTGAGTTCACTGTTGATATGAAAGGCGCTGGTAAAGGTGGATTAGGTCTATCTATTGAAGGACCTGTTGAAGCTCAAATGAACTGTAAAGACAACAAAGATGGTACATGCCAAGTTGCATATAACCCTACCAAAGCAGGAGACTACTCCATTGGTGTGAAATATGCTGAAAAAGATATCCCTGGTATGTTTACATTTTAACTTAGTTGGTATACTAGATGTAGTTCAATAACAAAATAAGGCCATGGAAAGAATGGTACCATCATTGTGTTATTTATTCATTATTCTTATTGTTTCTAATTCTACAAAATTAAAGTTAAATATTTCATTATATTGATTGATGTGAACTGTTTGAAGATAACAGAGTGAATATCTTGTAGTTGAATGTAATCATTTAAGAAACATTAACAAGCTGTTACAATCTTTCTATTGATCAGCTCAACTTTTCTTATTGTTTACATTACCTCATTTTACTGGTAATGTATCAAGACTTGTAGAAATGTGAAATCAAGATATTTTACATCCATATTAAACATTCTTTCAATTTGCGTTGCATTTGGATGTTTTAGGAAGTCCATTCTTGGTAAGAATCCAGAATCCAGTAGATGCCAACAAGGTGAAATGTTACGGACCTGGTTTGAACCCACAAGGTGTAAAAGCAGGAGAACCAGCATCATTTATTGTTGATGCTAGTGAATCTGGTCCAGCACCACTTGATGTTACTACAACTGATGCCAGAGGTGTATATACAATACTACACACTATCATATTGTTGATATTTTGAGAAATACATTAGTAGACCTATTTACTGAAAGTCTTTTTCAGAAAGAAAAAAATTTGTTAATTGTGTTAAAGCAAGTAATGGAATGACACCCATTTGGGACCAATCATATAGTAATGTACTGTAGACATATTTATAAAACAATTGAATATTGTAGGAGTAAAAAGACCAGCTGATGTTCTACCTATTGGAGATAATAAATATCAAGCTACCTATTTACCAGTAGAAGAAGGACCATGTAAAGTTGATGTCAATTATGCCAATAAAGCTGTACCAAACAGGTAATCCTCTTCATGTGTTTCTATGTGTTCAAATTGAACTAATCCCTTCAAATGGAGCCTAGCCAAAGATCTAAACATTCTGTAACTCTAACTCTTTACATTAACAAATCTTACAAATATACTATAGTAAGTTCATGGTTACATTACAGGTAACTGTTGTAAGCAACTTGTTGGTAACTTGAAATAATTGTGTTTTCAGTCCATTCAATATGAAGATCTTACCTGGTAATGATCCTAGTAAAGTTAAAGTTACTGGGTTACCCCAACAATGTCCAGCTAGTTTACCAGTTGTATTTAAATTGGATCCTAGAGAGGCTGGAGATGCTGATTTAGAATGTGTTGTAAAGGTAATGTTTTTCTTCCTCAGGTCATTTTGTTTGTTAATGATACTGATACTGATAAATGCAGATTTTTGGCTCTTTAACAAAAACGTTAAGAGCAACTAAAGTGCTATATAAAGAAAATAGGTGTTGAACATGTTTTACAGCTCTTATTGATTGATATTATATTTCCTTTCCTTATTTTTATTTGCTTTACACAGCAATTATTAATTGATATATTTTAGAGACCTGACGGTACCTATATTAGACCTGTTATGCAAGATAACCATGATGGTACTGTGACCTGTATGTATACACCAGAAGACTTGGGTGTATATGATGTAGATGTCAAATTTGCAGGGCAAGAGGTGCCTGGAGCTCCCTTCCCAGTTAAAGCTGTTCCAACTGGTGATGCCAGCAAATGTCAAATTACAGGTGGGTAGTAGAACTTTATAAGAATTCAAAATCTCTTTTGATAGTTGTGATTTAAGAAAGTTTTGGTCTTAGTCTCACTAAACAATATTGTTCAGTTAACAGTATTGAAATATTTCTATTATAGATGGTCAAGATAAGGTTGTACCAGTCAATAAAGAAACTATTATTGAAGTCAATGCTGCTCAAGCTGGTACTGGTAAAGTTACCTGTCGTATTCGAGGTCTGGACGGCACTGATATTGATATTGATATCATTGATAAGGGAGATGGTACATTCAGCATTTCATTTATCCCTCAATATGCTGGTGAATACACTATTGAAATCAAATTTGGTGGTCAGACAGTACCTAATGGTGAATACACAATTGAGGTAAGTTTTGATGTCAACATAATGTTTATGATAGAGTATGCTATTTTGCAGTGATTATTTGATGTATTAACACCCAATCAATATAAATAGATATATTTACCTTGTCATGTCTTCTAAATAACATATAGAACTTGAGGTGTTGTGTGTATGTGAGTTTGGAATATTATAATTTAAATATATGATCAATTAACAGTTTTATAATAAGAACAATGGGCAATGTTATTCTTATCAAATACACAAACAAAATTATCTTGTGGAAAAATGTTAAATGAAATTTGCACCACGCTCTGAGAAAAACCAACAAATGAATCAATATTTCAGAAAAGCAGAAGCCATAATCATATAATAGTGGTATTAGATATTTTTATAAAGTCTGTCTGATCAGTGAAATTCTAATAGAACTTAAAAGTTGTAGGTGTATCAAATTACATTAAGATAAAATGAAAGATCAAATACTGTGTAGACTATTTATAGAATGTGATGATTAAGACATTCTGTTACAACATTCAATACCTGTGGTGGTTCCATTAGTTAAATTATCATGAACTTTTAATTTCTCTCTAAAAACTATAATATTATATAGAAATAATGTAGAGAAATTCTCAAGAAATCGAGATAAATTCATGTATTTAGTGGTGAATTCTTTATATAGAAATGAGATCTGGTTTCTTTACCTGGTCTTATCTTAATAAATATAGACTGATAAATTTCACCAATTTCTAAATGAGCCAAACACAAGAGTGTACAGTGTATCCTATAATAAATTCTTATCAAAAATCTGACTTCCACCTCACCTTGCTACCTTCTCTCTTAGTTCATTGGCAATCATAAAGTGTGTTAGATAGCTTCAACCTAGGAATGATATTAAATGTAATAGAAATTTATACATATTGTTAGGATGCAGCCAGTTATTATCCAAGTAAGCTCTGTAAGTAAGCTCTACAATAAGCTCTGTAATATTTTGACCACTTGTATGTTTTGAGGTAATTTTGTCAGTGTGTGAATGTGTGTTATATTTTCGTAACAAGGCATGTTTTAAAATTTTAAAGTTGACAATAACAGAGATAAATTTCTAATTATATAATGATATTGTTATTGTGTTGTGAAAGGAATTAATTTCATAGAATTGTCTCAAACAAAACGTTTTGTTTAATGTTGTCAAGTTTAGATGTCAATTGATGTTGTTTATCTTTATCAATTGTTGATGTTTTACCATCATTTGACAAAGAGTAAGAATTTGGTTATTGCAATATACTAAACAATTTTTTTTGCTATATTGTTTCACCAAGTTTAAATAGAACCATGTCACATCTTAATTTAAATGAACATTAATAACATTAAACCATTATTTTTTATTTTGACCTGCACAATTTTAATAAATTGAGCATGATGCATGAACTGCTGATTGAGAATATTATTTTGCTTGTTTGCTATAGGCCGTGGAACCAGAGGAATATGATGAATATTTGAAAAATAGACCGGTAAGTTGCATGCTAATAAATGTTCTTGCAAGTGTGCCATTGATATGATACCTTATTCATTGATATTCTATGATGGACTTTGTTGAAATAAGAAATATTTTTTATATTTTATATGGAAATTGAAAAAAAGAGGTTCAGCCTCAATATTGATGTTTTTGTGTATTTGCTGTTTATATATGTTTACCAGTATATGATTATTATTAAAGGTAGGAGATGATATGATTGTACCAGATAAAGCAGATGGTGTACATGCTGCTGGTCCTGGTGGTCTTTTCCAACCTGTAGATTTCTGTATCCCTGTTGGTCCTATCTTCAACTTTGTCTCAGGTGAGTCAACTGATTAAAAATTTAGCTGACTAGTTTCCTCATTGTACTTGTTTCGAACCATGTATTCAGTGGAATAGATATGCCATATGATAACATGTAGTTTTAAAGTAAGATTGAATGGCAATCCAAAAATAGAACATTAGACATCAGGAATTTGTCTGTTTTTCCCACTTTAAAGAGAAATACATAAGGCTAATTCAATGTTATTAAAGATATTGAATAAGTTGTTAATGGTTCTTGTATTTGTTTCAGCATTTGTTAAGATGCCATCAGGAAAGAAAGCCTACCCTAAGATTCAAGACAATAAAGATGGTAGTGTAACAGTCCGATATCAACCAACAGAAACTGGTCTACATGAGTTACATGTCCAATATAATAATGAACCTATTGATGGAAGTCCATTCAAGTTCCATGTAGATGCTGTTAACAGTGGCTATGTGACAGCCTATGGACCAGGTCTCAGTCATGGTATTGTTGATGAGAGATGTGAATTTACTATCAATACTAAAGATGCTGGAGCAGGTCAGTTATTTCAGAAAACTTGTAGACCAATATATCATTTTATTATCCAGTGCTCAAAATTGAATTTTTGGATTCAAAGTCTTTGTTACAAATACTCTGAATGAAATTTACATGGTGATCTACTCAACTATGTTTGTTTCGTATCACAGGGCAAGATTTTGAGTACCCTTAAAGGTGCACTGGAATAAAATAACTAAAGACTGTTATGCTTTATTTTAGGAGGATTATCATTAGCTATTGAAGGACCTAGTAAAACTGAGATTCAATGTAAAGATAATGGTGATGGTACATGTACTGTATCATATGTACCAACTTCACCAGGAGAATATGTTATCACTGTTAAATTTGATGATAAAAATATTGCTGGATCCCCATTCATCTCCAAAATTACACGTAAGTTATATTTTATGCAAACTAGATTCATGTATTTTGAGCAATTTGAATCGGAATTTGTTTTTTTCGTGGTACTATTATAGTTTAAACATAGAAAGCTATAACCGTCATAAACTGAATAGATGAGATGTTTTAAGAATAATTTATTTGATTCCATGCTACCTGTACCCTATGTATGTTTTTGGAATTTGAATTTGCAGCTGGTGAACCCAAGAAACGGGCTCAGATTTCAGTTGGTTCAAGTAGTGAAGTATCTCTCAAAGTTACTGAAGCTGATATTTCTAATCTGTCAGCATCCATTAAGAGTCCCAGTGGTCGAACTGAACCTTGTATATTGAAGAGGTTGAGCAATGGTCATTTAGGTAGGTTCCATTTTTTTATGTGTTTCTCTGTTAATATGATATAACTTATATGAATTAGTAGATTTAGTTATAGTTCAAACAAACCTATTGTCATAGACCCTAATTATTACAATGTTAAATACTCCTCTTTAACAAGGATCAATATTTATTATTTACAGGTATTACATTCACCCCACATGAAACTGGAGAACATTTAGTCAATGTTTATAGAAATGGTTCTCATATTGCTAATAGTCCATTTAAAATCATGGTTGGTGACAGTGAAATTGGTAATGCTGGTAAAGTGAAATGTTATGGTAAAGGATTAGAATCTGGAATGGCTAACCAGGTCAATGAATTTGTTGTTGATACTAGAGAAGCAGGTAAGTTATTTTTAATGCTGATTTCTTACAATCTATATAATCTACACTGCTAAGACTATTAAATGATGTTCACAAGTCATACCAAAGTACATAAAGTAGTACACATAGTATATATGGCTGATCATACTTTTTTTTGAAATAAAATGATAAATTAAACGTAATAAAAGTATGATAGTTTAAGCTTGAATTGTTACCTACTGTTACTGTTTAAAAGGCACCATTTTCATTGAATTGTGATGTTTATTAATTAGACCTGTAGTAATATTAGTAGAAACACAAGAGACAGTGAGAAAAGAGAGAGTGTGGTGTGTTTTATGTATTATTAAACTATGTTAATGTTAACTATTGTAGGCTATGGTGGTATGTCACTATCTATAGAAGGACCTAGTAAAGCTGATATTGAGTGTCATGATAATGATGATGGTACATGTCGTGTTACCTATAAACCAACAGAACCAGGAACCTATATCATCAATATTAAATTTGCTGATGAACATGTTCCAGGTTTGTCAAGTTTTTCATTTGATTTTTAGACTTCATGTTCTTTTATAGAATGCATTATATATAAGCATTATCCTGTTAAAACGTGAAAAGGGCCTAAAAAAAATATTACACAGTTAGGGTACACCGATCCTAAATGTTTATTGTCTTGTTTCTTCAAGTGAATATCTTCTGTTTGATTATTACAGGAAGTCCCTATACTGTTAAGATTGGTGGTGAAGCCTCAGCTAAAATCACTGAGAGAATTACACGTCATAAGGAAGCTGTTGATGTTACACATGTTGGTAGTCAATGTGAACTTAGTCTAAAGATACCAGGTAATTGTCTTAAACTTCTTAATTCCAGTCGACCACACAGGCATATATTTGTCAAATAATATAACTTCACTGAAAAGTGGTTCAATGTTAAACCTTGACTGGAACAGCAAATTATCTGTTACAAAATGCTTAGAACAACTACCCTTATTCTTCTTACTAAAAAACAAGTCCAGAATGCCAACACAAACTTAAATATTAAAGTATGTTTTATTGACATATACAGCTTCTTTGAATACTTTTCTTAACATATTGTATCAGACACTAGGCTATAATAAAGTTATAATAATTACCAACTGACTGCATCCTATAGACTGTAAATAGTCTTGAAATCAATTTTGGCACTCAATCAACAATTTTTATCACCTCCCTAGTTAAATAGTTATTTTTAATTGAGAAGAGTTCAACTTTCTTGTGAAATGTACTGAATACTTATTGGCTTCTTGCCTATTTTTTTTATTTAAAAAATCCAAAAAAACCTTGAAACAAATAGCACATATTCCCAATGTACCAAGTTAGTGCTGCAATTTGGACTTTTGGTTCAATTAATATAATGTAATGCCGACTTAGCGATATTAAAGGATGATTATTTATGTATATGTTTAGAGATTATAATCAGTGAAATCAGTAGGCTTTCATCTTTAAATCAGTATGCTTTCATCGTTATATTCCATTAAATTTATTTCAATTACAAACAGATTGAAAGATCTTTGATTTATAACTAAGTCTGAAAAAATGAAGTACATACTAACTCTTAACCAATCAGAAATGTTCTGACAGCTGTCTTGAGGCATCAGATTTTCAATTTTCATAGATTAATCTAATAACTCAACCAATGAAATAGAATCTTACAAATGTGTTGGGCTTGTAATATTTGGCAGATGCCTGAAATTTACCTGGTATGAGAACAACATGTTATAAGATAAGATTAATGGAATTGTACCTTCCCTATATATAACTGACAGTTCCTCTTTAGAATAACTTGAAATAACATATTTTTTCTATTAATATTGAAGTAAATTAGGATAGGATGTAATAAAATTGCAGTATATGTATAAGCCCAGTCAGCAAGATGTGGTATACAACTTCTCATATATTTAATTGGAAATATCTCTACAATGTTGCAGGTACCACATATTTCTTTCATTTTCCAATGTGATTTGGAATAATTATGTTTACAAAAAGTGTACAATGCTGAAATGTTACAATTTTTATCATTATCAGGTACATCACCATTTGACATGACTGCCTCAGTAAAAAGTCCATCAGGTGTTACAGAATTATGTGATGTCAAGAACTTAGATGATTGTCACTACAGCATTAAATTTGTACCAAAAGAAATGGGTGTCCATACTGTTAGTGTAAAACATAAGGATATGCATATACCAGGCAGTCCCTTCCAATTTACTGTTGGTCCTATTACTGGTGGGGGTGCACATAAAGTACATGCTTCTGGACCAGGTCTACAGAATGGTGAAGTTAACTCACCATGTAAGTATACGGACAAAGTTTTACCATTCAGCCACTCTCATAGGTACAAGATTACATATACTAAAGCAGAGGTTTGGTTACAATTTAAGATTATAAAACTATTTAGCAATGACATGATTCCAGATGGAGATGACAGTTTATGATTCAGTTGTTGTTACAAGATTAAAAGATTTTTTTATGAAAATAGTCTAAAATAGTATACTATCACAAATTGTTTAAAACTGAAATTTTATATTCAGGCGATTTCAACATCTATACACGAGAAGCTGGTGCTGGTGGTTTAGCTCTTGCTGTAGAAGGTCCATCCAAGGCTGAAATTGATTTTGCTGATAGAAAAGATGGATCTTGTGGTGTAACATACAGAGTTACTGAACCAGGTTTGTTATAAATTTCACCTCCTATCTTATCTGCAATACCAATTTTCAGAATATCTATACTGCTGTAAGAATATTCCTATAATAACCACGGGTTACCAAAATACTTTTTTGAATGTCTTTTTAATACTATTGTTATTAATTACAGGAGAGTACCTAGTATCTGTTAAATTTAATGATGAACATATACCAGATTCACCTTTCCGTGTACCTATTTCACCTAGTGTTGGAGATGCTAGAAAGATATCTATTAATGCTCTACAAGACAAAGGCTTACAGGTATTAGTGACTACATTATGATGAGTATACAAGACTTGGTTCCATACCTGCGATAGCACAGTAGTTGTGTCTACAGTATAACATTAGTTGGCAAACAACTAAGTATTGTGAAACTTTGATAAATTGGCAATAGATTGGAAATTACATTTATCTCTATTTATTACAGGTTGGTAAACCAGCAGCTTTTGTTGTCAATTTCAATGGTGCTAAAGGTCGACTTCAAGCTCGTGTAGTGGCTCCATCTGGTGCTGAAGATGAGGCTTTGATTCAAGAAATTGATGATGGTAAGTGTTTGTTTCCTTGTTACTTGTATCTTAACATAGCACACAACATACACATTAATATGACTATTACTTGAAAGATCATCCTCTTTGTTTGAAATTTGTTTACCCTGTAGTTTCAGAATCAGTAGTAGTCTTGATTAGTTCTAAGGTTTTAAATATTTCTTGTAGGTCAGTATGCTGTACGTTTCATCCCAAGAGAAAATGGTCTCCACTTTGTTCATGTGTTATTTGATGGGTGCCATATCCAAGGATCACCTTTCCGTATCATGGTAGGAAGAGTTGATGCTGATCCTGGAGCAGTAACAGCTTATGGTGATGGTCTCAAGACAGGCAAAACTGGTAAAATATATTTAGAGAATTATTTCATTTCCATGTTCTACAGTAGAAAGTTCTTTATAGGCATACACAATCTTCTAAGACACATTCACTGTCAATGATCAATTGTAATATGCTTATAATGAGGACATGTTTTATGGACAGTTAAAAATAGATTATGTACAATGAAATCTGTGAAATGAAACTGTTATAACAATCAAACAATTTGATTATTACAGGTCAACTGAGTAAATTTATTGTGAACACAGTAAATGCTGGTGCTGGCGCTCTAGCTGTAACAGTAGAAGGACCCTCTAAAGTTAAATTAAACTGTAAAGAAGTAGAGGAAGGTTATGAATTTACCTATACACCTAATGCTGCTGGTGATTACCTTATCACCATTAGATATGCTGGTGTCCATATTGCTGGTAGTCCATTTAAAGCCAGAGTAGAAGGTAAGTACTTCCATCCAAGTATCTTAATCTTAAATTTACCTCTGATATTTGATAAAAACAGACAGAGAGATGATGGTCCAAACTGAAGGTCATTTACTTGAGAAGATCTTTAGAATATTTAGTGATGTAGTGATATTTAAAATAAACTATATGGAGAAATATGATTGTGGAAATTTCTAATTGTTGTAGATGATTGAAAGTAACAGATTAGGGTTTTGTTATCTTTTGAGTTATTTATGTCATTATTTCTACAGGTCCTGGTAAAGGTTCAGGTTTACAAGAACAAGCTTCAGTAGTAGTAGAAACAGTAACTAAAACTAGTACAACAACTAAATTTAGTGGTATTCAAAGATTTAGTTCTGATGCCAGTAAGGTTACTTGTAAAGGAAATGGTTTACAGAAGGCTGTTAGAAATAAACCAACAGCATTTACCGTAGATACATCTGGTGCAGGTATGTTTTATAATATTATCAAATGTTAACTCAACAAGGATAAAGACAGTGATTTCATAAGAGCAAGATTACTTGTTCATAGTACTTTTTATATAGAACAATGTAATCTTTAGATATAATAAGATAAGGTAACTTAGATTGCTGTAGACTGATGATGAAGATTGAAATAATTTATATATTTTTCAGGTAATAACATCTTATATATTGGTATGATGGGTCCTAAAGGTCCATGTGAAGAATTAACAGTAAAACATCAAGGCAATAACCAATATTCAGTTAATTATATAGTGAAAGAGATTGGTACCTATATGCTCATGGTGAAATGGGGAGATACCGATATTCCTGGAAGTCCTTTCACTGTGGAATGTCAGTAAAAAAATATGTAATAAGAAATAATATATATTGTTCATGACATAATCTCATCAACAACTGCCTGCTTCCTCAACCAACTTCTTAACAAATTATGGCCAGTGCTTTTCAAATACGCTGAATCATGTTTGAAATTTTTTATGTTGTTAATCGATAATTTGGGAACCATAAATTTGCTGTAAGAATTGGTTGTAGACTTTGGGACATGTGCACCATTTGTCCTTGGATACAAATATTTCTCAAGATTTATGCTGCTTAATCAAGTTAGTCTATGAATGAAGTTTAAGAGGCTTGCTTTGCTTTGAAATACAATATTTGAAATACAAATGGTGCATGTGACCCTAACTCTTTTCAATAAGATCATTATTGGGTGTAGGTCAGCTGTTTAAATCAAAGACAAAATGTCCAAAATAAATCAAAGGCATTATTTTTAATAAAGATTTCTATTTTCCATCACTTTATTCATTATGCTATGCAATCAAATTTACTCCAAATTAAGAATCCTTTTCACTAGAATATTGGTGCAAAGTTTCTTATTCTTTGGTGTTGGAACAAAGACAATTATTTTATAATTTTTGTTATATTTAGGTTTGGGATTTGTAATTATTATTATCATTATTATTATTTTTATTAAAGCATAAAGTGTCTTATTTAACCAACTTTTTCTGATGTAGTTATAAAAGTAAAATATACCCCTAATTCAATAATGACCGGACTATATTTGCCAGTGAATTGTTTGTTTCTTACTTTGTTTTTGAAGAAATCAAATCTCTTTGCTTGAAGATCTGAATGTAATATAATTTTTCATTGCTACATTTTTTATCAACATTGGATTGTTAACCAAATATCTTGGGTCAAAAGAAGTTCATTTTCTTTCTTTTGTCTATTATTTGTGTTTTTTTGTTTGTGAGAGAAAAACATTTAAAATTGTGTTGAATTATATTAGTGATTACGCTCATGCATAATTTATATAATGGAAGATATATTTATTAATTATTATTATATGAATTAATAAAATGAAAGTTATTCTAGGATACGATAAAATGTTTTTCATTTCATATATCTTGACTATATATATCAGTGAGAAAAAGAACATTATCAAGACTGTTTAAAATTTCTCCAAATTTGCAACTAGAATAGTTGTCTAACATTATTAAGGCAGACATGAGCCAGTTGAAGGCGATTCTGAAGTTCTAGGTTTTCCTTGTTTGTTAGATATATTTTTTAAAGGTTTTGTAATTGAGCATGCCTCTGTTTGAACACTTCTCATTTTTTTTATAGTTGAAACTCGCTCAACAAATTTGCTTCTGCCAAATTTTGCCATGATTTATATTATATTGTTAAATTGCTGCTGATTTCATATTTTGTAGGCAAACTTATTTATCAATAAAATATTCTTTTTCACATACAAAATAAGTCTTTTGATTACCAGGAATCAAGTATTTTATCAAGTTTCACCAACATTGGATCTCAGGTTATTGTCATGTGAAGAAGAAAGTTGACAAATGGTGGTTGCATCAAGAAATTAGGAAATTGACTTTGATATAAGTTATCTCATCATAATCTTAGTAAATCCAAATCAGAATTCTTATCACATGTATTTTATTGGGCATAAAATAATGTGGCTTTCATACAGCTAGCAACATCACTGATGGTGAAAATCAAAAGAACTTAACTTTAACTGTTCCCCTTTACATACTCTCAACAAGAGGTCATCTCAAAGGTTATACACCCTTGGCCTCAACACATACCATCAACAGTGCAATAGCTTACAAGTGTATTTTTGCTATCTATCAAACTGTTCATTTACAATTCATTGACACTTAAAATACATATGTAGATATCGATTCACCTCGATTTCAACACCTCCACCAACATGTGAAGTAAAGAAATGCCTTCGAGAAAATTGTGGTACCTGTGACTACCTTATTGAAGGACACAGCATAGAATTTCGGAAACATGGGGCCTTTCATGTTAAAGCAAATTTAACATGTGCTTTCTGAAATGTTATCTATGTAATAACGTGCCCTGGTTGTAAGGAGCAGTACATCGGACAGACGGAATATTTGAGAGAGGGTTAGGGTTCATAATTCACAAATTACACCCAGAATATACAAATACTGTGAGTAAACACATGGATGAATGTACCCTTGATCTTACCAAATTCAAAATATTTCCGTTCTATCAGCTCCTAAACAATTGTGAAAAAGAGAACCTTAAAAGAGGAATATTTTATTCAAAAATATAAACCTTTATTGAATAAGTGATAAATTTCTCTTCTTATTTCATTTTTAGTGAATGATTGATTAATTTATGCATATTTCATTCATATAATATTCATTCATTCATATTCCTCCATGATGACGTCATAATTGATTTATGTAAATTTCATTGTTACTATGTAATGTCTCCCTGAAGATACTACTGAAACATGTAGGAGATTAAATCTTGGTGTTATTTTGTTATTTACTTAATTTATATACTACTGTGCATCAGAAACAATCTACTATACTCATATATATATAACAGAGATTGATTAAATTTCAGTCTGCTTTCACTATTACATTCTCAAGGTCAATAATTCAAAAACCGTTTACTGAAAATCTGCAAGAATCAACCTTAGTATATCAAATACATAAGCAAATTTTCATTTTAAATTATTCAATTCAAGGGAAATAACTGGCAAAACTTATTTCAAAATGGCAAAAGAACACCTCAATGTTAGGTTGTATAACTAAGTATACAACCTACACAAAAAATTCATGAAATTTGGAGGAAACTAATGTAGGTAACAATGGTCTTAAGCAGTAACGCTTTTAAATATTGCCAAGAACTCAAATTTAACCTTTATCTTAGGACAATTTATGTTATACACATACCACATTTCATCAAATCAGTTAAAAACTTTGATTTTAGAGCATTTATCGGTTTAAGTTTGAATAGATCGAATAATAACCATCTGGAGAAATAGGTGCTCAAAATATATACAGCTAAATAGTGAGATAAGGGTGGTAGCCACATGGGTTGACACTTGTTGGAAGAAGCCAGCAATCAGCTGACATGACACGAACAATGAAATAACAGTTCACTGACCAGCACAAGAGGTTGTGTTGGAATTTTTGAGCCACAACAACATAGTGAGATATAAAAACAGTATAACTGGTTAAAATTGTTTTAATAAGAGATAATATACTAGGAAATATTTAATGTTGTTTGATGAGCAGCTGATGTATTTATCTTTAATATTTCACGAAGAGCCATGGTAGCATAAGCTGCTGGTGGTAGAGAAAATTCTATTTTTAATGCTTTGAATTTACCATCTGAAAAGATAGATAGGCTTCATAAAAAATCTTGAAAAAAATAAATATTATTGAAAAAATAAAACTGTTATATCAAATTTGAACACTATATTTCCAAAAACATTGGTTAGTCAAGTGCAGACAAAGGGGAGGATTTAAAACCATAAATAATTAAAATGAAAGTACTAATAACTGTACCTGGTATAGATATAGGTTCAGGTTCACCATTAAGTCTATCTAAATCACTAGTAGTTAATGATATAGTAGTATCATTATATAATAATATATCTTTATCTACATTATTAGGTTTAACTAATATCTTTCTGTATGTACCAGATAATGAATATTCTCTACAATATAAATTATTTCAAATCATACATTGGGATTGTTGATTAGAATAAAATAAAATAAGTTACAAAGTCCAACCACTGTTAAAAAAGTACAGCACAGCTGAGCTTGATGCATATATAAGAACTTACCTGATGATACATAAGAACTTACCTGATGATATATAAGAACTTACCTGATGATATATAAGAACTTACCTGATGATATATAAGAACTTACCTGATGATACATAAGAACTTGTCTGATGATATATAAGAACTTACCTGATGATATATAAGAACTCGTCTGATGCATTAGCAAACTTCATGGAAGCATTTATGATTCAAATCATATTCTCTTCAGTAAAATCAATGAGTTTGTCTGTTGGACTAGAGTTATATTAACTATATAATAAAAGTTAGCATACCTTTGTTTTGTTCTCATAGTAGATAATTCAATAGAGTCTTTCAGTAACATTTCTTTATAGCATTCACCAACTGAAAAATAACCAGGTAGAAATTTAAAGTAAGGGGAAATCCTCTACTCTACTAAAATGTAATTTCACCTTAAAACCTCAAACTCTCATAAGATTGATACAGTGACCAAAATTAGCCAGTAACTTTCACTGAACAGCTTTTTGAAAAAGAAAAATTCCTTACAAGGCATGAGGTTCTTGGACCAGGAATCTTGATTACTCTAAATCTTTGTAGACCAAAGCCTCACTTTAACTTAAACAAATCATATTGTATACATACTATTATTTTGAGGATAAACCATATTATAACCAGGTAATGGTAATACTACATCATATATTGTATATTTATCTATATTATCTTTACTTATAAAAATTGGTGTTTCCTTCTCATCTGACCCTAGACAAAAACATAATGACATAACCAATATCTGACACTCTGATTCATATGTACAACAATTTAAATACATTCATTATATAAGTAGGATGAAAAAATTGAGACAAATACAAATATAAACACTTTTAAAGAAACATTATCAGCTGAATAGCAATGACTGGCTCTGAACAACATCTGATGTTTTTTATATAAAATAGAACATTCTGCTATCAAATACATTTTATGACATCACTATCACAAATGTTAATATTATCCAAGGACCTCCAAAATAGTGATATCAAAAATACCACACACAACTGACTGAAAGTGCAAATCCATTATATCAGTTTCCTGAATACCCATAAAAAATTTATTAATTAATAAATAATATACCAGGTAGTACCCATGATTCATATTGTAACAAAAGTTATAAATATCAAACCTTCTTTATCAGAATTTCCATGATTTTGAAAGACTAGATCTCCCTCAGTAATATTGAAACCATATAATTGAATACGTTTAGATACCACAGTATTCCAGATATAACTCTGATAACTATGTACATATAATAACCGGGTATTACGAGGAATCTTAAATAAAAATAACATAAAAACCTGAATCTGAATTAGGATGCTCTTAGCAGAGCATGTTTGACAATATTATAATTATGAAAAAGATAACATGTGAAACATATCTCAGTGATATTCATTAGGCTTCCCATTTAAAACATGTAAATTCATGAATTATGACAAGTGATACATAGCTAAAATCATATAAGGTGTCACATTCTGACCAACAATTTTGGAACTTCTTTCACTTGAATCAGATATACATGTACCATTAGTCAAAGAGAGACACTTATCAATTAGTCAATGGAAAATGATTGGGGGATGGGGGCTGCTCAATCATAGTTGACAAAAATCATAGGTGCAGACAGAATTCAAAATGTTGGAGAAGGAAATTAATCAAGTGCTCCCAAGTATTAGTCAAAGGGAGATAAGAACTAGATACTTACTGCCTGCAAAGCATTATAGAACATATTAGCACCGTGTTTAGAAAGCACATATAAAACATTTTGTTCTATACTATGATGTGGTGGTAATTTTTTTAGCATTTCTTTACTATCTTTAGTTTCTTGCCATATTTTTCTACATTCTACCATACTCTCATCATCTGTTACAGAAAGCCAAATCAAGTTAATGTGAGAGAAGTACAGTACAGATTTTCATTCAAGAATGCTTTACAATTGAATCTTAAAACTTTATCCTACATCTGATATTTTGAACTTGATATAATGAACTTATAAAACTTCAACATACCTAAATTGAACATATAAGTAAAATGTTCTTTTATCAGTGTAAACTACGTTCACATTGGGACTCTTCAGAGTAGTTTCATTAGCTTTACTAAATCTGGACTAAAATAAAACTACTTACCACCATCTCTAGGTCTCAGTAATAAATCTACAGCTAGTTCATAATTTCCAAGTAATATAGCTCTTCCTATATCATGTGTAGATATTGTTGTTGTACCAAATCTCTGCATACCAAAATAATTAATAAAACCTTTAGATTTCAGAGATTTTACAGCTTTTTCTATGACTTCATTTTCAGCTTCCACATTCCTATACATAATAAATAAATAAAAAATAATCCTATTTGAGGTTTGTAGAAATTATTTAACTTAAAAGGCTCAATGAATTAACGATGTAAGCTAGATTATAGACTTCTAGAGCTGAAGTGAAACTAGTCTCTATTTACAATATAACAGTCTAAGTTAGAGGTCGTACTATGACTAAAGTTGAACTTTGGCTAAAGTCTGACTTTATAAAGTAAAGATACAGTTGGACTTCATCTTAACTTTATTTGTTACGCACAGCTTCTTCTATGGTCAAACTTAACAAAGTATTGGTTTTGTACCAAAAGTATGGAAGACCAGTGTTGACATTGATACTTATTCCAGATTGCATCGAATCACACATGCAGTTGCACTATCAAATAGTATAAACTTCGACACTCATTCATTCAAAGCTATGAATTGACACAAATTGTGGGGGAAGTAAAATACAATATGTAATATTTTTTTTTTACTTTTTTGTCTGGGATGCCAGTAAAAGAATATGCACTATGATATCAGGGTAAATGCATCTTATGTCCAAAATAATTATCGGTAATTTTTCATGGTGTTGCTCGTTTAGCAATACATGAACATTTAGTTGAGATTGGTTCATTATGATGGGGTTGTTTATCAGTTACCTTGTCCATTTTCATTCGCATCTATAAACTATCTCATGGGAAATGTTATATTTCGTTCCGAATTATTCTCTGGATTCACTGTGTTAAAATATCCAATGGCATCCCCGTTATGTAACCATCAGCTTGACGTTCGAATTTTGAGCGAAATGTCGAATATTTGGTGTTGCCCAAGGCCATCTTGCTACGCTATCGCCAACCACATGAATATTAATTGATAGCCAACCTTTGCAGTTTCTGAAAATTTGTGGTTGCTATTGCTCATGGAAAGTCAGCCAAATCGTAGACTCCATGTCGAACTCCGGAAATTTTCAATTTCGGTTGAAATTTATATAATATCTGTGGCTAATTATTGTCATTGATATCATTTTGACAGTTATCCCGACAGTAGACTGGTAGATGCTCAATATTTCCATTAAAAAGAGTGTAAAGAGGTTTTTCTAAATTTGTAAGTATCGGGGACGATTTTAAATCAGACATACTCTGTGGTTCCTGCAATTCCACTAAAACTAAGAGTATGATGACATCACTAATCGCAAATTACCTTTAGCGATAAAGCATATTTTGTGACTTCATCAAACAAGTATTTTTAGTGCAATTGCATGAACTGTAGATGTCTGTACCAAATTTGAAAATTGGAAAGGTGCAGATTCTATCAGTGTCCCTGCTACACATAAAGATAGCTTGCCAGGCAAGGTAATAAACGCCCACTGGCAGCTTTCATTTTAAATAAAGATAGCTTGCCAGGCAAGGTAATATACGCCCACTGGCAGCTTTGATTTTGAACTTAAATATTTAGCAGTACAGTAACAATCACCAGTATGAAATATTCAACCTTCAGTCATACACTTCTTTTGAACTCTTTAGTGCGATACTGAATAATATTGAGTATGAGTTATTGCCCTAGTTCTTGAAAACGTGTTCAATCTTTAGCTCGTGAAAACTCTACAAGACAAATATTCAATCTTCAGCGCGGTAATGAATAATAAAACCAAGTTTTGTCCAAATTTGGCAAGAATCATGCCTTCTAGAGTTTTTATGAGCTACAAATTGAATGGGTTTTTATGATCAAGGGCAGTAACTCATACTAAATATTTTTTCGATTTTTCTCATTTTCAATAGGCTTTGTCCATGGGTGATAATAAACACACAAGCCAAATTTCGTTAAAATCCATCAAGAATTGTGCCTTCTAGAGTGTTTACAACGCATTTTCAAGAATAAGGGCAATAACTCATTCTCAATATTTTTAGATTCTTCTGATTTTCAATAGGGTTCATCCTTGGGCGATAACCAACACTCAAGCCAAATTTCGTTAAAATCTGTCAAGAATTGTCCCTTCTAGAGTGTTTACAAGCTAAAACACGTTTTCAAGAACAATGGCAATAACTCATACTAAATATTTTTCAATTTTTCTGTTTTTCAATACGGTTTATCCATGGGTGATAACCAACACTCATGCCAAGTTTCGTCAAAATCCGTCAAGAATTGTGCCTTCTAGACTGTTTAGCCAAAGTCACATACTGAGGTAACTTTACCACAGCTTTCATTTTATAATAATTTTTTTCAGTAAATGTTAAGTATGACGGTGCATATTTAAAGTTCAACTCAAGTCCAACTTTAGTCAAAGTATAGTACAAGTGCTGCATATGGCCCCAAGTATTGAACTGCCTCATTCAAACATCCCAAAAACCTAGTCAAATATATTCACTCACCTTAAAACTATAGTAAAATGGTTTCCTTTAGCCTGGCCTAGTCTCAGCGGTGAACTCACATACCTAAAAAAAATAATATACTGCTAAATGTTTTTAAACTGTAAAAACATATTTCCAAAAACATCAAACCTTTTTCTTAACAATGAGAAATTGTCAACTTACTGGAAATTTCCAAAGCCCATATTTCTCAGGATATCATTTAAACTTTTTATTCTCTCAGCCTCCACTCTGTAAAGAGAAGATTCTGATGTTTATTTGACATACATTATCCAATATATAGAAACAAGGCACACTGCCATAAGCACTGGTAAAGCATTAAGAAATGGACAGCATCTGTTCATATAACAAACATGCAATATAGAAATATGGATGTGAACAGTTGAAAAACATTCGTTTAATTGGAAATATTGTCAAATAATAATTTTTATCAGATCACCAAACCATATCATATTCACATTCAAATCTAAATAAAATCCTTTCAAAGAGTAAATTGTTTTCTAACTCACTTAAAAACTGTTATTTCTTGTGTTGTTTTAGCTCTTTTATCTTTTGTTCCAGCATAGGAAAATAGATTGGCATTCAGTCTACAAAACAAAGTAGCATGTTGAATGACAAAAATTCAGTCTATAGATGCTTGTTTTACTGTTATGTAGTTTTGTGTACCAGAAAGCCTGATAAATTTTCTATGAATTTCAAATGAAAACTAAAAAACATGTTTAGAAGTACTGACCTCATATTTTTAGAAATCAAACTAATTGTATCCATAGTATCTTTATTTTCTTTATATAAAACAAATTTACAATATTTAGGTCTGCTAGCTGCCCACCTGGAATCCCGCTTAGCTGTGTAAAAATTTAAAAATATCTATGAAAATGGAAAACAAGAATATCAATCTCCATTAATGCTGCCAAATGATCATGGCATCCATTTTCAAAGGATATGCTAAAAATTGAAAGAATTATCGAAATTATCAAGCTATTATTTTATCTTTTACACTGTACTGAATACTGAAATTTTGGTCTTAAAATAGCCATAGTGAAAAAAATACAATTAAAAGTTATATAAAATACCTTTAGATTTTGGATAAATAACTTTTATTACTTTAGACTTCCCATTGTCACCATCCACTGTAGAACTTTCTAGTAAGGCATAATGTTCTCGAATAGCTAAATGTATTTTGGTCCGGGCTTCTTTATTGTCTTCTACCTACAAGATAAAAATAGGTTTGATTCCAGTATTTTGAGAGCTATGAACCATACTTTAAGCTTGACTACTATAAATACAATATTTTCAGTGACTGATCTACTTTACCCTCAAAATATCAAATACACATGTATTGAAATTCAAAGAGCTATGCAGTGTACTCTATGATATCCGACACTTGAGTATAACGACATTCTCCGTAATCTCACATTTTTTCTGGTGCCGATGGATTTCCTTCTTATGTCTATAAAAGTATTCCGTCATTCTGTGTATTCCGAATTACGACACTAATCAGGGGTCCCAAAAACTTCAAAAATTTTGTCTAAATCGACATTTTGCCATATTAATCAATTATCACTAATTAGATAATCCCATGTATTATTGATAATCCAACATAAAAACAAAGTTTGCTTAATTACAATGCTGATCGTCTTGTGCCTGTTCTGATGTGTCTCTGGATATGATCAGTAACTTTGACAATAATGAAAAGATGCTGTGCCCTACGTAGAAAAATATAGCTATGAAATTTGGTTTTTTGAACAACAATAAGCAGCATTTTAAAACGTGGAGAAGAATCTTTAAAAAAGGTTTGCCGACAATACAAATTCAAATAAAAAAAAAAGCATGTACAGTATCTCAAAATATGATTAATTAAATAATAATAATATACAACTGAAGTGTCTTTTATTATTGTCTTATACTGAAAGGTACCGTAGAATCTTATCTGAGTCATTGGGCAATATATATAGTAACATGTTGAAAAATGTCGAAACTTTGAGTACTTCGACACTCTCGCTAATCCAACATTGTTTCCCGGTCCGAATGTTGGATTACACAGAGTATAATGTATTATTTTGTGGTACAGTGTTAATTATCAGAATTATAAAGTATCTATTAAAACAACTAAATACCTGTATTAAAACTGATTGTTCATAATCTGTATTTTCTACCATATCATGTAATTTTTTCTGATCTTCTTCATTAATTACATTTACATCTGTTTCAAACTACAATGATACAATTCAAAGGTTGTGTTCCACAAAAAAGTAATCTGTTAACTCGCAGAATTTGTGGAAATGGAAAAAATAAATATTGAAAATACAGCTAGTTGATTGTAATTTCTTTAGAATTATGTTTTTCACCATGAACAATACAAACAAATATACATATATATATATACAGCACAAATATATAGTCTTATATAGAAACATTTTTCTGTCTTACAAGCTTAGTTTCACAAACCTTTTCTTGTTGAGGCAGATCAAAGGATGTTAAATGGACAATTTCACCATTGCTGTTAATTTCATTCACTATAAAATCTGAATATCTGAAAGATGTGGAAGGGGATGATTTATGTGAATTTATGTTTATAGTCCTCAGTAGTACTAGAAATGAATGAAAATCGCAGAATTCCTTCAAATATATCGCAAAACTAGGTATTTATTTTCGTATTTCTATAGCTGTCTTTTCTATATATTATGACAGTACGATATCTCAAAAAAAGACCACTTGTTTTTTTAACATTCAAACAGATCATTCTGGACACACGGATTTGAAGGCTCAAATTTTGATGATGAGCTGTGAACACATAACTGATTGGCTTAGCAAAACAATTGCGTTTCTGAGACTAAGGTATAATTGGTCAAATGGCGCACGTCTCTTTTAAGTATTCTATAGGTTGTTCTTGTTTATCTCTAATATTGTCTTACCTGACATCAAAACATCATTGACATCAAAAGTCATCAATGCATGGAAGTCTCCATTTTTTCAAGTCATAGATAGATGATGATAAAATAGCAATATTTCAGGCAAACTAGTAAAAGAAATGAGGACTATTTGTATATCTAATACTCAAAGAGAGCAGGCCTCATGAGCTGATTATTTTGCTTGAAAAAGCATATTGTGTTAGATTCTGTGGGTACAATACTAATACTATTATTAAAAATTAAAAATATGAAATCATTATTGTGAAGAATACCTTTGTTTGATTATAGCGGAAAATCCCCTGTGATCACTGATATATTCTGTAATACCAACATCTTCTTCTGTAATAGGTTTCTGTACAGCCTTCTCTGGGGAATTATCTTCACCTTTGACTTCATTATTAGTTTCATTGTCTATTTCAGTTTTCTGCTTTTTACTTGGAGGTTCATTAGACTTGGAATCTATTTCTTTCTTAGTTTCTTCCATTGTTTTGGTATTAAGATTGAAGTAGTTCATAAAAACACCTATTTTATTGGTGCATTTTAATTAAACCAAATTGCTCTCATTGACAGGATCTTGATTATCTGTAAATTATTAACATAAATGGTGCAATGGGAAGAAAACAGTGTGATCTATATAAAGTTGACAATATTTTGTTCCCATTGCCACTATTTTATTAATATTGACAGCAGCTTGTGTTTCATGGATATAATCAGTAGTTTATGTTCACTCAGTATGTTGGAGAGCAGAAATCCCATCAGAAAATAATTATTTCAGACTTTGACCATTGAATAGCATCAAGAAGCCTTATCAATCACTTACATCAGAGCATTATTACACTAGGCATCCCTTCATGCCTTTGATAAGCGTCTTGTCATCAATAAACCGAGGACGAGGTCGTGTGTGTACAGACTGTGCAAAAATGAAATGAAATGAATGGAGTTTTACGTCACACCAATGCAGGGATTTAACCCTGGACCTTCAGGTTAACGAGCAAGCATCTAAGTCACTGAGCCACTGCCGCTCCCTACACTACAGACAGTGCAGATTAAAGATCTAAAGACAGTTCATTATTGGAAAAGAGTAGGCTAATGCAGCTGTCCTTTCAAAATTTCCCTAACTGCACACTGCATGGCCTTGTCCGTCCTCAGTATCTCAATTAGGTGCAGAAAAGTAGGACCTTGAATAGTTTCAAGATAATTAGAGACTAAATGATCATGGCTATATTGTTATTTCTCCGTGGATTGCATGCTTTCCACTAAAATAGTCAAACACTAGAAACTGTCACGACATCACACAAATACCTTTACGGGATTAAAAAAATAGTTGGTTAAAAATCATGTGCAGATGAACATTCTTCAATAACATGAATAATTATTGCAATGTAGATTTGGAAATTTTCGTCACTTGTTATCGTGAGAGTGATCTCCCCTTAATTTATACTTGATCCTCCAGATGACTTAAATGGTTACGTTTTATAGTTACAACTGTGAAAATATCAAATGAACTGAATACTTTTGTGAGAATGATGTTGAAAAAAGAGAGAGTTTCAGATCAGGATTTTCGTATTGACTGTAGAGATTCCCAGACACTTATCAGAAGAAGTAAAGGCATCCGGTCTCTTGGATTTTCACGGATTGTCCAGTCTTTAATCATTTCTAATACGTACCCGATGCGTTATTTTAACACGAAACCGTATCTTAATTGAAAAAATATACAATCTTACAAACGCACTGTACTAACGACAAAAATAATAAATAATTATAAAACAGAATAATAATGGAATTACAAAGATTACCCAAACTGGAAATTTTTTGGAATGGCCTTGTCGGCATTGGCAGCATTGCAACCGTATGCTATCAGGTTTATTCCGATTCAAGAAAATACTTTTCAAGGCTAGACTTTGACAATTTCATACCCGGCTGGAACATTTTACCTTACCAAAAGGATGTTTCAAATTTTGAATGGAATTTTTGGTTTCGGTACTTCTGGAAAATATTACCTTGGTTCTTGCTGTACAGCTCACTGGGATTGGTGTCGCAATTGCTGAAGATACGACGACGCAGATGTTATATTATGCTAACGGCATTGTCTCTGTGTTGTTTGACATATTTGCTTGGTGTTAAAATAATAGCCTTTTACCTGTTACATTGTTCAATTGCATTCGCATCATCTTGTACAGGAAATAAGATAGTAGTATGGGGGACAACATTATCGCTTTTATCAACGTTGAATATCGAAATGTTTAATGCAAATTTCATGCGACATGTTTACAATGCTTCTGAAGATAGTGAGGGAAAGAATTACTATCTTTTCGTCTTCTGTCTAGCTTTAATTAATTTAAGATACATAAGTTTTTCTTTGGAAAGATGCGACTCTCAAACGTCAAAATCGGGTTTTATAGACATGATAATATATGTGTTTTACTTGCCACTCTTTTTTACTGGTCCTGTTCTGACTTACGATTTATTTCTAAAACAAATTATTCAAGATCCACCACCTTGGACATTTATTAGAATTAAACAGAGTCTATTTAATTTTGCACGTGTGCTGGTTTGGGTAGCATTCAACGAATTTATCCTCCATTTCCTGTATTTTGGTGCCATTCACCAACGTCTTGATGTTCTTCAAGAAATATCTTTATGGACACTAGTCGGCCTTGCCTACTGCGAGGGTCAATTCTTTATGAATAAATACCTTGTGATATATGAATTACCTGGTCAGCTGGCCAAATTAGAAGGAATTGAAGCACCACGAGGACCAAAGTGTATATCATACATTTACAGATATTCAGATTTGTGGAAAACTTTTGATAAAGGCTTTTATAATTTCTTAAAACGATACGTATACATTCCTGTAGGTGGTTCCAGGAATGGGTTATTAAGACAGCTATTTGGTTCCTTTATATGCTTTATGTTTATATTTATTTGGCACGGTGCTGAGTTTTATCTCTTTATGTGGTGTATTTTAAATTATGTAGGCTGTACAGTTGAGTTTTTTGGAGATTGGTTCGTGAACACATCGTATACTCAAAAATACATCAATAAAATCAGTGTATATAATCGCAATCGTTTAAAAGGATTGTTATCCGTACCCCTTTATTTAGTTTCATCAATGGGAATCTTTGTATTTTTCAATGGCAGTAGTGTTGGTAGAATATTTTTCTACCGGTTGCTTGTTAATATTACATGGCCATCGTTTATGTTTTTTCTCTATCTTTTATATTGTAATATACAAAATGCCATTCAAGTACAATATTTCATGGTGCAACGAACAAAATCCAAATTCACTTAATATTGATAAGATTAAACTTGCTATAAAATGTGTTCTTTGAATTAAAATACTTGTGGGGAGCAAATCTGATTTTCGGGAAATTTATAAAGAGAAAGGGGTTTGACCAACTTGCCAAATAATTTTGGAAACCATAACCTTGAATAAATAAGACAATTTATGGATAGATACTTCTAGAATATTTATTACTTCACGTTTCAATGTGGTTCTCACACCGTCGAATTAGAAAATTATTATATTCTTGATGACGGTGTGAGAACCACATTGAAACGTTGAAGTAATAAATAGTATCTATTCATAAATTGTCTTACTTATCTATAACCTGTGCTTCTAATATGCCTTCGAAAGATTATAACCTTGAAGTTTGTTATTAAAAAATAGCAGCTGTGTTTAGTGATCATCCAAACAAAAGATAGATATGCGATATCGTGCAGTCCTGCCGCTTAGGCCTATAGAAAATTTATTTCCGATGGCTTATAAATATGGTCTCATCCGCACGAACAATGTCAATACGAAAAAAATAAAGGGGGGGGGGGGGGGGGTGCGAAACTGATATAGGGGAGAAATGGGGGAAGAGCGTAGTAGAAATGGGCAAAGTTAGGATGACACGAGCGGGAGAGGGGGTGATAAGGGAAATGGGAGATATGTGAAGGGACCTTAGAAGTGAAGAGGGTGCAAAATGGGAAGACACCCCATCCATAGACTTAGTATCCTTATTCTTGAAAACTTAACTTAAGATGATTATAGTATTTCAGTCATCTGATTGGTCAAACTAGATTGGTTTTAAATTCAGTTTTGTTATCCGATCAGAGTACAGTATTTCTTAAAATCTGGATTTTATTTAAGTTTTGGAAAATAAAACCTAATTTAGGCCTACAGCCTAAAAAAATCGAGATGGCCAAATGTTAATGTGTGAAAGTGGTAAGCAAGTCTTCACTTTTTCTCCTTTTTAGAAAAATGTTATTCACTTTACGCTCTTACAAAAAAAAAAAAAAAATCTATTTGATGAAGAGAAATTTTCAAAATAATTTAGTAATTTCGTTTTTTGTAGATGGCTATTGACAAAATTTGTATAAACCAATATGTCTGCGCCCATGAATGAAAAACAAATTGCAGAAGAAATAAAGAAAATACGAAAGAAATTAAAACAGATTGCCAATCTTGAAAGGAAAGAGCATAGTTTGACTCACAAGGAAAAGAATAAGGTTACAGCTAGTTGAAAATTGAATATAATTGCCTTGTAATATCATTTATCGAAAGTCATTGTCATTGATTACTGGCCACTACAATATTTACTTGCAAGTGCCTGGTACTGTATCATCTTTTCCTAATGCAACAGTATGTTACCTTTTTTTTTCCAGATTAATAAAAAAACGGCTTTACGTAAGGAATTGTTTTCACTGTTGCTTGTCTCAGAAAAAGAGTTAGCAGGTATTCCAGTCAAAGCCACTACTAAAGTCAAAACAGAGAACAGGAAAACAAAACCTAAGCAAAATGTTAGAGAGAAGAAATCTAAAGAAATCAAAGAATCAGGTAAAGTGTAGGATATATGAGTTTACAAAATCATAGTTGCCCAGGATGGATCCCACCCATTAGTTTCATTTAGTATAACAAGCATAACATTTTCTCATTCAGTTATCCCCATTATGTCAAGATGTTTTAATATCTGGAAAATGGTTGTTATGGCTTTCAATAGAAACCTTTATTTGAGTGTTGTAACGTAAAAGGACAATCATAACTGAACTATAGTCCTGTCAGCTAGTTAGTCAATTTCAAATAATAAGTCTTTGATGTTTTGTTTCATTGTTTTAGAACCTAAATTATCTGTAAAAACTAATGTTGTTGATAGACCTGATATAGAAGCTGATGAAACAGATGAGAACAGTGACAATGAACTGCAAAGAAGGTAAATAAAGTGAGATGTATCGGATTTTTTCCATACCCTAATAAATGATATTTACATTATTTAGTTGGATTTTGTTGTTATACCATCATTATATTTACCTCAGATTACAAGTTGTCATTTGATGATACCAAAAGCTAATTTGAAACCCTAGAGAATTAATTATCTATAGCTCATGTTATCTAAGAAAGGGTATGAAACTATGAAACTTTTTGTTGATATAAAAGATGTTTTTTATTATTAGTGAAGAGGAAGAATCAGAAAGTGAATCATCAGATTATCTACCACAAACTTGTCAGAGTGCTCAACTTACAGACAATACTTACACACAACTAGAACAAGGTATATTTGTTCTTGATTTATTAGAAATTTACTTGATTCTAAACTTTTGATTGTTAATGCATGGTATTTTGATACCATAATGTTATAACTACGTTAACTATTCTGTCAATTGTTTTTTTTTAATATTTGATAATGACCTGGAAACATTATAAGAAAAGTATGAAGAGTTCTGTCTAAAGGAACGCAGTCTAGGTTACAATTAAAGATTTGAATTTATTTTACAGTTTAAAAAACTTCATTTTCCATCTACACATATTGACATACTCATCTTACATATATGTTTCTTACATTTCTAAACAATTCTTATTTTATTACAGACGCTCAAAAGAACAAAAATACAAACTCAAAAGTAAATACTCAGCCTACAACAGTGTCAGCTCAACCAAGACCTGTACCAATCCGAAATCCTTTAAAAGAAAAATGGCAGAAAGTAGAATGTATTGTAGAGGAGTTGAATGGACATAATGATATAGTAACATCACTTGATATTAGTGATGATTATTTAGTAACAGCTAGGTATATTTACTTCTGTTTTGATTATTTTTCAAATGTAACATGTTTTGAACATTATGTGTCTTCCATTGCTTTGTAGTGTATAGCATTAAAACTTTTGTCCTTTTCTCTGATCTTATATTATCATAATTTTTTCTGAACTTTATTTTAATTATATAGGCTTTATTACTTGAATCCTTTTCTTTGGTGAATTATGTGGAAGCCTAAATTATTGGGAATTTTTCTACGAAATGGTTAATCTTTTTGCAGATGTCTAAATAGTGATATCCAGTAGCGGAAAACTTTAAAGGATTCACTTCTCCATGTTTTTGTTGAAATTGTTCTCATCTGTTTCAGTCGAGATACAACAGTAAAAGTATGGAATATAGAAACTGGTATGTTTATAAGAAGTTTAGGAGGCCATACAGAAACTATTACAACAGTTATCATTGTACAAGATAATAGTTTAAGTAAGTTTTAGATTTTGTTATGCTGTATTTGTGGGTGTGCCTCGTTTGCTACAGGACAAGACAAGTCCTAGAAAAGTATTTCCAAAATTTTTAATGTATTATTGTGCGAAACAAATTTTTGGCCCCTTTTTTGTTGTGATTAATTAGTCATACAGTGTGCAGGGATATGCATGAACCTACTTTATCTGTAGGATCTTTAATGCTGACAGTTTGTCCAATCCAAACAACTGATTGTCATCTTTTCCAACCTAAATCACTGACGAGGGGAAACTGAGTGCCATCTTAATTAGGTATTCCATTTCATTCACTTAATATGGATATTTTTCTATAAAATTGTATGCTATAAATAGATTTTCTAACACTATTTTACAGTAGAAGGATTAGAAGTGGACGCTGATGATAAGATTATTATAAGTGGTTCAACTGATTGTTCTTTTAAACTGTGGTCCCTTCATACAGGTAATTTTATTCTCTTAGTATATGGCACATGTTGTGTATATTGGAAGTTATTAAAATTTAATATTCTTGGATTTAATTTCATGCACAAGTTTCATAAGATTATTGTAATTGTATCCAGTGCCATAGAACATATAGCTTTTGATAATGTTGAAAACAATGATTTGGTAATCTGCAAGATATACATATATATGTACTGATCATTATGTATTAATGTTTTCAGGACAACTGATAACATCAGTCTATACCTATAATCCTATAACATCATTAGTCTATAGTACTAACTTGCTAGTCACAGCTTCAGGTGAAACTGTTTTATAACCTATTAGGGAAGGTTGGGTTCATGGATTAGAGATATGTTTTTTATTTTTTTAAACATATGCTCTACAAAGTCTAAGTCAATTTGACTAAAATACAGATCTTAAAGTTTTGATTGCTGTTTGTAAAATAAAATGTTTACTTAATACTGATACATATAAAGATACAATTTGGCCAAATTCAAATTTGACTAAATAGGGTTTCATCTTATCACTAATGACAAGTTTAGTATCCTGCATAAAAACCCCAATAGAATTATCTATATCTGCATCTTAATACCGAATTTCTGTTCTTTATGTCAACAACTTCTATTTGGTCTGTATATTTATCAATTATCTTATTTCAGGTGGTGGTAAAATAGAATTATGGGATTTAAATACATCAGAAAATATCAACTCTATAAGAAATGATGAAGATGCTATAACATGTATTACTGTAAGTTTACTTTGACTATCAAATGTTTTTTGGAAACTCTTTATGATACAGTTTGTGTTCCTTTCATATATGGTTTATCTTATCTGGCACCAATCAGACAAATAGCTACCTCAAAACTTTTCATATTATTGGCCAATTCAGTAGGTAGCAACTTGCATTGCCTGCCATTGCCAATGCAATGTATACATGTTCAGGCCTTTAGCCTCTAAGCTAATACATACAATTATGTATAATTTCAGGCTGAAAAAAATCTAGTGTATAGTTCATCAGAAGATGGTATAATTAAAGTTTATGAAATTAGAGAGAGAAAGTTATGTTGTTTATTTGAATCTGATAATTTAGATCTAATAAATAGATATATAAGATGTATTATAAGTTGTAATAATATTTTATACTATGGTGATGATGGTATAAATATTAAAGCTGTCAATTGGAAAAAAGGTAAGCAGCTCATAATGTTTGTTACAGGGATATGCTTTAGCAAGCAATATGTATAAATTGCATTTTCTTTGAATAAAAGATGTATCAAAGAATGTTTATCTAAAATGACAAAATATGTAAAACTGCAAATTTTGTATGTGGTAAGTTATAGCATGTAACTATATGTGACCCCGCACATCGTATCAGGTATTAATTCGCACTGCCCAGTAATGATCTTTTTAAAAAAGGATGAAGACATGGTTGGATGGGTTGAAATTCTGAAATATTGTGATTTTGTATGTAGAAGTGTAACCATTATCTTTATATATAGCTGTATGGTTACTACCTTTATCCTCGTTTTTCTCAAAATCGACTCAAATCTGGATATTAATCTTCTGAACGGAGGAAGCTATCGAGATGGATTTGGTATCAAAATGTAGCTGATGATGCTAGGAATCCAAATATACCAATAGCTCTACATACACCAAATGCAACTTAATACCTGGTTTGATGTTTGGGGTCACATATAGAAATTCTTCTATAGATTATCTTTGTTTCATTGTAGGATCTGTTGTGAAATATCCAAATCATACTGAAGAATTTGCTTCTACAGACGCCAGTACCATTACTGATAACTTATTATTGACATCAAGTTATAATTTAGACCATGGTTATGGTTATATAAATGGTAAGTTGAACATCTCCTATGAAGGTTGCCAGTGGCTAATTATCTGAATTGTTTTTTTCTTTTATCTCCTACTGAAAAGATGAGATCAGAGCTCTTCTACAATAATAGGTATTGCAAGTGGATTGAACAGGACAAGACAAAGAGGTCATGCTTATCTTTCTTTACATTTGACCATAGAACTGTAATATATCTGATGCATAAAGCAACTGGAGGCGCAAACTGGAAGTATAAATGTGTCTGAGGTTTATCAAGAAACCGCCATATAGTTTTCACAGTACATAGTTTTGTAAGACATAACATCATCTACTATTACATGTATCATAATATGATTATAATTGTATCTTATTTATACTTGAAATTATTTTTTATTTTTAGTTAGAGAATTACCATCATGTGAATATCAATTTAGTTTGATTGATAAGGATACAGAACGTATTGTTTGTCTTAAGTCTACCAAATTAAAAAATGGTGAAATGATCATTGTGACAGGTGGATCAGAACTTCAAATATGGAGAATTGGACCAAAATCTAGGTTCGAACTATTCAATTCCTATATCAAGTACCATTGTAGTTATTCTTTATCAATGCTTGCCAACTACTATAACATATACTATACTTATTCTAAGGTCATCTTATTTCTTCAGGTTTTTGAATGACCACAGAACCAAATGTAAATTACGATTTATTGAGAAACTGACAAGAAAAGGCCATGATTCGGATAATGAAGAGAGTGATGATGATGATAATGATGATGATGACTTTAATGTTGAAGTTAATGATAATGATTATGATGATGATAATGATCTGACAGCTAACCCTGATGAAGTGGATAAGTCCTGGTCATGGTGTGAGATATTATAAAGGTTTCAACAGCCAACGACTGAATGACCTTTATCTGTGAAAGAATACTGTGTATATTTAAAGCTTATCAACCAGTGTCCAGAAGGTGATTAAATTGCCTATCTCCTTACTGATATTGGTTTTAACTGTACAGTATATCCTTGAAATGATTTTTGCTTCCAAATTGGATGTCTTGTATTAGGGTGTATGGGAAAAGTCATTAAATGAAACATTGTAGCTTTGTTTGGATGTTTTATCTGTTAATCTTTTATTATGTTCATTGCCATGTGTTGAAAGTCAAGTGAGATTGGTAAAATTTGGAAAGTGCGAAATACTATACAATTTGATGTGAAGAGAGGAAAATAAACTTTTATTCTATTGATATTGTAATAAATTACAATAAAATGTTCTCCCATCCTCAAAATTGCTGTTAATTAATGATGTAGGATATAAATAACCTTCCATTGAATCTGTTGTCCAATTCTTATATCAGGTGCTCGTAGAATTTAGTTTAAAGGGACTGCTGTCATTTTTGGGGTTGATTTGAGTCTTGAATACGTTTTCAGAAGTACTAGAAATTTGCAATATTCCTTAAAAAAATCTCAATTTAGACATTGCTATTCCTATTTCTTGTCAATATATGGCAGTGTCTCAAAAAAAGGCTTAGCTAAAAAATTAAAAAATTTGAGGAGTAAGGTATGATTTGTCAAAAATCGCGCATTTGTCCCTTTAAGCTGGAAAGGTACATTTATCATATCATGAATAATTGTAAAGAAAAAACATAGTTTAAAGTGCCTTGCTATGTTATTTTACAAAATAAAATCTAAACAAAAATACATAAGATATTAATTTGTTAAACCTGACAGTAGGAATGACCACACCCACTGACATGGCATTTTATTTGCAGGAATGGGTGGAATCTTGATATCAATACCACCACTAGGTCTTGTAGTATATTGAAACTGATCAGGATAACCTAGTAAATTAATTGTGGTACTTGTTGATGGTATTGGTGAACCAAGAGTTAATGTATCACCTTGTGGCCACTCCAAAACTATAGCATACACATCAGATCCTTTCATAGTGTACCTATAAAATGCAAATAAAATGTTATTTAATGGTACACCTTGTGATGTATTAAAGTACACTGGTACCTCATGATTTTAGCGACAAAATTAATCAAAGACTCTAAACTATACTTGATATGCTTCTGGAACACCAGATATCTATTTGTTCTGAGTTGCATATAAAGTTAAAACTGACTGTTGGACTACTGATTTCTGAAATTGTTTGATGGCACATACCAAACGTTGGAGTTAATGGTGTCATTCTGTGCTTTCCATGGTCTGGTACCTCTGATAGCTGCGCTGTTGACTTCCATCCATTCACCAAATTGTTTAAATCTTTCCTCAAATATCGGATTAATAAAGCCTTCTTTAGTTGGTCCAACATTCATCAACATATTCCCTCCACAACTGAATCAATAGCAAATGAATCTTATGACCAAACACTTGGCGCTTGTTAATCACCATTTTAACTATTTTCTATTATCTCTTATTCTAATTGAAATTCAAATGTAATATATGCAACAAATCATTGCTAATTGATGATTTAAACCGATGATTTTAAGCCAAAATCTTACCTTACAGTTTCTACAAAAGTAGATATGAGTGTATGTATTGATAGATAATCTGATAACTTAGCATTTCTTCTAAATCCCCAGGAATGGCCATCAATTGTCATAGCATTCTCCCATTTTCTCTTCTGAAGTTTACCTGGATAGAATTTCTTAATCAATCATATATTTTTCCAATTCTCTTCAGTGCTGTATATTTCAATAATCACAGCCCTATAGCATGATTTGCTAAAAATGTCCCAAACACAGTGTTATCTGACATGTTGTTGCATGTATCTGAGTATGAGTAGTTGCCAAATAAAGGATACATTTACATGATTTAGAGAGGCCTATATAAACACATCTGTTTTCTGACAGGACTTGAAATGTGTCTTGAGTATGATAAAGTTACTTGTTGTTTTGTTAATATTTAGTAGTATCATTGATTAAAATTTATTCTACGTCAAGATAAACAAGTCGTTAACCAAAACGATGCATTCACATGCCTTTCTACATACCTGGCTGATAATAATCTTGACAAGTTAAATATCCACCATGATGACAAGTGGAATCTTTACCCCATCTATCATTAGTCACTACTGTATCTTTTACTGGACTGTAACAATAATAGCAGTTTAAGCAAAGATAAGAATTCTGTAGATTTTCAGTAAGAACTATATTAAACCTACCTATCATTATAAAACCAAGCTTAGAATTCTATAGACTATCAGCTAGAACTGTATTAAACCTACCTATCATTATACAACCAAGCTTAGAATTCTATAGACTATCAGCTAGAACTGTATTAAACCTACCTATCATTATAAAACCAAGCTTAGAATTCTATAGACTATTAGCTAGAACTGTATTAAACCTACCTATCATTATAAAACCAAGTGAAGAATTCTATAGACTATCAGCTAGAACTGTATTAAACCTACCTATCATTATAAAACCAAGCTTAAAATTCTATAGACTATCAGCTAGAACTGTATTAAACCTACCTATCATTATACAACCAAGCTTAAAATTCTATAGACTATCAGCTAGAACTGTATTAAACCTACCTATCATTATTAAACCAAGCTTAGAATTCTATAGACTATTAGCTAGAACTGTATTAAACCTACCTATCAATATACAACCAAGCTTAGAATTCTATAGACTATCAACTAGAACTGTATTAAACCTACCTATCATTATAAAACCAAGCTTAAAATTCTATAGACTATTAGCTAGAACTGTATTAAACTTACCTATCATTATAAAGCCAAGATAAGAATTCTATAGACTATCAGCTAGAACTGTATTAAACCTACCTATCATTATAAAACCAAGTGAAGAATTCTGTAGACTATCAGCTAGAACTGTATTAAACCTACCTATCATTATAAAGCCAAGATAAGAATTCTATAGACTATTAGCTAGAACTGTATTAAACCTACCTATCATTATAAAACCAAGCTTAGAATTCTATAGACTATCAGCTAGAACTGTATTAAACCTACCTATCATTATACAACTAAGCTTAAACACGAATTTTAACCATATAATGCTTTTGTAGTTTGAATTCATTGATAAATATATATATATATATATATATATATATATATATTTACAGTTAGTTTTTCCATGATATCTTTTAAACCGATATCAATAACCTAAAAAAACCGAACTTGTCCAAGATATCATCAATATATTTGATCACACTAAAATTTTTTTAAATAGATTGAAAACTTTAGACTCTATCCTGATCATTTTTAGAATTCTGTAGACTATCAGTAAGAACTATATCAAACCTGCCTATCATTATAAAACCAAGCTTAGAATTCTATAGACTATCAGCTAGAACTATATCAAACCTGCCTATCATTATAAAGTCAAGATAAGAATTCTATAGACTATCTACTAGAACTGTATTAAACTTACCTATCATTATAAAACCAAGCTAAGAATTCTATAGACTATCAGCTAGAACTATATCAAACCTGCCTATCATTATAAAACCAAGCTAAGAATTCTATAGATTATCAGCTAGAACTGTATTAAACCTACCTATCATTATTAAACCAAGCTTAGAATTCTATAGACTATCGGCTAGAACTGTATTAAACCTAGCTATCATTATTAAATCAAGCGTAGAATTCTATAGACTATCAGCTAGAACTGTATTAAACCTACCTATCATTATACAACCAAGCTTAGAATTCTATAGACTATCAGTAAGAACTATATTAAACCTACCTATCATTATAAAACCAAGCTTAAAATTCTATAGACTATCAGCTAGAACTGTATTAAACCTACCTATCATTATACAACTAAGCTTAGAATTCTATAGACTATCAGTAAGAACTATATTAAACCTACCTATCATTATAAAACCATGCAAAAAATATTATAGACTCAATAAGAACTATATTAAAGGTAACATATGCTCACCTGCAGCTTTGATAAATGAATATTTAGTGGCTTAGATACGAATTTTACCCATATAATGCTTTTGTAGTTTGAATTCATTGATATATATATATATATATATTTACAGTTAGTTTTTCCATGATATCTTTTAAACCGATATCACCTACATACATCAAATTATTTAATCACACTTCTCTAATGTCAGAAAAAAAAATTTGCATTAATCTTTTAATCTAACCAAGTAAATTTAATTGCCATTATTTATGTTTTTCTTCCATGTAAATTATACTCCGAGATAATCCATCCATTTAAATTACTACTAGGGTATAATCAAAATTCAAAGTTAGTTCTAATCAATTTACAATTCACTAATCCCGCTTATTTTTATTTCTCATGTTTATTTATTTTATATTTTTGTATTCTTGATTTCTGATTATTTATGTTTTTCATTTATGTAAATTGTACTCTGAGATAATCTAATCCTCCTGAATTATTACTCAGATATAATCAAAATCTAATCCAATATTTCTATAATCCTCAATTGATCAAAGATATGACTCAACTAATTAAGAAATCAAAAATAATCCTAATCTTCAACTGATCAAAGATATGACATGATTCACTCAATAACCCATCCAGCTATATCCCACCCCATCGCCGACCTACCCACAACACAGCCTACCAATCAAGAGGTAACCATCGACCTGACCAACAACAGAAACGACTACCAGCCCACCGACGCCAACCAGTCCCCACTCATAAGGAGGAAGAACCCTTTGTGAAGGTTTTGCAGTGCCTCCATCATTTGGCAATCCTTACCCTTCAACAGCAAGGCCAACCAGCGTTTACCTTCAAACGCAAAGTCTCTGAGTTGGATAGTTTTATCCGTCCATCAATGAAAACATCAGCTGTCGACGCGAATATTAGATCCCTCAATCGGACATGGCTCTGTAAGGTTACGCAGGTCCTGATCGACCATTACCAAACCACACTTCAAGAGAAGCTGACCACCATTCGTACCAAGTCTTTATCATCACCTGCCGTCGACCGCATCGTTTCTCATGCCCTGTCCTGGGCCCGTCGCTCCTATGGGAAACGTCTCACTCAAGCTGTAATTTCCAAATTCTACCAAACAATCAACGAAACAAAAACCAGAGTAACCATATCTCTACCAACTGAAATGGACACTACACCTGCACCATCTAGAGCTACCACGCTGCCGAACCAAACCCCTAAACGAGCCCGAAGTTCACCTACTCCTAGTCCAGCAGACATAGGTAAACGCTCTCGTAGAGAGGGCACACCCCTTCTCTTTTCACTTTCAGACTCGTCTTCCCCTTCCACACCATCTGAATCTTCACCACGTGATCCAGGATCCGCCAACCTTTCTTCCTTCTGTGCGTTTTTGGAACAGCAAACCACCCCTCAGTCTCCATCCAAGTCGAGACATGTATCCAGACCTTCCCCTCCTCGAACCAGATCCCAGTCCGTTCCCAATGCTACAATTCTAACAACTACCAAACCAGTACTAATCACACCGTCGACGACCATTATATCCGCTACCAAACCGTATTATCACCAAACCAAGGACAAATCATTATGGAAACTACCTGCTCTAAAGAAATCAACCTTAATAATTGGATCATCTAACCTGAATCGAATTACCAAAACCAGTTCGGACACCGAAATACATTCTTACCCCGGTGCCCAAATCCATCACATACAGTCAATCCTGGAATCATACGACCATGATCCCAAACCTACTACCATTATTCTTCATGTAGGCCTCAACAACCGTGATCAGATACCAAAGACCTCCTTTAACCAAGCCCAGAAATTAATCGCCACAGCCAACAAAACCTTCCCAAACTCCAAGATCCTCTTCACATGTATACCCATTTCAAATAAAATCTCGAAGAAAGCACAACAGAACCTCAGCACCCTCAACAACATGATGATGGAGTCCAGTATCAACAGCGCAACAATCTTACCACCCTACGAAGAAGAATTCGAAACAGTTGATAATTTTCATTGGTCTCCAGAAACAGCAAACAGCATTTATTTGTTTTGGATACACCAGCTTCAAGCATCGAGTAAGTCTTTAAACTAATTACTGGGGATAAAAATACTGAGAGGCCACCGCTAGGCAAAACTGTTGTTAACTTGAGCCGCAAAATTCTCACACCCCTTCAGCATTCAATCTTAGACCGTGGGCTTAAGTTTATTCCCACACCAAAGATAGCTAACTTGAATCCATTGAACGATTTCAACGAAATCTTAGCTGCACATATTTTTTTCGAAACCACCCGATTTAGTCAAACTGTCTGCCAAACCTGATTGTCGCGAGAGACATTTGTACACTTTGCCTAAAATCCATAAGAATCCAACCAAGGAGTGGTTTATCTCGAATAAAATCCCTAAAGGCCGCCCGATTATATCTGACTGTGGTAGTGAGTCATATGCAGTGTCAGAATACATTGATCATTTCTTACTACCTCTAGCATGCCAACATCGCGCCTACCTTAAAGACACAACCAATTTGTCAATAAAATAAAAAATCTTCGAGTTCCCTCTAATGCTATTTTAATTTCTATCGACGTTTCTTCTATGTATACCAATATCGATAACACTACTGGTTTAACGGCAGTTCGTAAAGCTTTTAATAGAAACCCAGATCCAAACAGACCCGACGATGCAATTCTACAGCTTTAGAGATTTGTCTTAGTCGAAACGATTTCACATTTAATGGTAAAACATATTTACAAACTTCAGGGACAGCAATGGGCAAACGATTCGCCCCTTCGTACGCAAACCTTTTCATGGCAGAGTGGGAACGTGAGGTGTTGCCCCTCTGTCCATTAGACCCACTTTTTTACGGACGCTTTTTGGATGACATCTTTATGGTTTGGACTTATTCTATCGAACAGTTTTGGGAATTCTTTGAAATTCTCAACAACCACCATCCTTCTATCAAACTAACCGCAAACGTGAGTGACAAAAGCATAGACTTTCTCGATACCACAGTCTTTAAGGGAGATTCCATAGCAGAAACAAATAAACTGGATATTAAAGTGTATTTCAAAGAAACTGATACTCATCAACTCTTGCACAAGAGCTCCTTTCACCCAAAACATACCTTTTCTGGTATAATTAAGTCACAAGTTTTACGATTTCATCGAATTTGTACAAGATCTTCTGATTTCAACCAAGCCTGTACGATTGTTTTCTCAAAACTGAAAGAGCGTGGGTACTCTAAACGATTTTTACGAAACATAAAAAATTCCACCTTAGCACAGATAGCAGCTAAAAACAGACTTTATGCCGAAGTACCTCCAGGTTTAAGAAGTGCTCCATGTTTGTCCAGTAGATGCAAAACATGTCCCTTTATATCAGAAACTCATTATTTTGTAAGTAACTCTACGAATAAAAGGTACCCGATCCAGGAAC